AGCGTCGATGCCCCGACGGGCAGTCGGAGGTAAGCGTTGAACAAACGACAAAGGTCGCGGCAGCCGACGGCAGACAGGAGACAAAAGCCGATCAAGGCCATATGGTAGTTGTTAGGATGCACACAGTTCTCCTATCACCGCCTGACGAAATTTGTTAATGTCAAGGGGTTCTTTTGCTTTGTGTGCATGTAAACACCATCTGAATATGCTTTACTCTCGCTGGACCAAGTGTATAAAGCAATGTTCTCGACTCGACTAATTATTTCGCAGCAAAACGAGTCCGTTGCGGAAAACTGTGCTCCATTTACTCACTCTAGTTTGCGTATTGGTAATGTGAGATGTGAAGATTGCTATAGAAGTAGGTTTCAAATTACCCTGCTTATATAGGTTTTCGTCAGAAATATTGAGTCAGCGGAAAATTGCGGTGAATTTATAAGGTATGCTTTAATTGGTACTCTCCGCAATTCTTCCTATCAAACCTACGAAATGAATAGAGGCTGTTTAAGTTTTCTTTTGATGTGGCAAGCAACTCCCAACAAGTTATTATGCGTTTACGAAGGCACTCGCAAAATTTGAGGTTTTAGCACTGCTTCTAATTAGGTGTACATTAAGAAAGATTTTACTGGTAATGAATGTCTATTCATGAAGGTAACTGATCGACTTTATTCTCAAAAAGGCGAACACAAAGGACAAAAAATTACAAATGGAGAGCTGCGTTACAAGTTTTTAATAAGTCACCTTACATTTGACGATTCCTCGATTAATACGTACATATGTCACTTCTGGTAGAGCTAAAAACTAACAAATATTTATTGTTCGTTCAATGCCAGTATTACATTAACTTTACTTGCCCATGATAGTCGTTGGGAAATATCCTGCATTTTTTATTTAAGTTTCGTTCAGCTAGTAGAAATGCAGGTATTGTCTTCGACATTCGTCTTCTCTGTCATTCAAAAAATGTTTTATAGCACATTTCTATTCACAAACTGCAACTCCAACCTGCGCGTTGCTGATCACATTGGCGTTAGTAATTGGAGAGTCAATAGGACCACTTTAGACTTTAAGCAACATGTTTAAGAAGCATGCACGAACGCCACTTCAAATGGCACCACAAATACTCGACTGGAACGTGGTAAGGTAATGAGGTGGGTGTGCTGTGCAAAATGCTGTTATCAAAAGGGCTGTGACATGAATGCTGATAAGTCCTTCCCTCACTTACCGTGATGTGCTTCGTGAAATGGAAAGGAATAAAGAAATTAGTCCGACTTTTTTTCAAAGCATTTCCCATAATTAAAAACTGTGCTTTTGCAGTTGAATATCTTCATTCAATTATATTCTTTACCTCACGTGGGATAATCTGAATTATCACAACAAGTAAGAAGATCGCAAAAAAGTGGAAAAATTTCATCGTATCTAGAAAAGGAAAAGTAAGTTGAGTCATCGCCATATCCATCCAAGGTGAATGACTGCGTCTCCAGAATCAAGTACTAAGTTGCAAGTCATTGGACCATTGAATACAGTTTAAAGGTTAATTTTATAGCACCACCGGATCGGCGCGACAAGTAGTATAAATAAATAGGCTTATCAAACATCATTCCAAGCCATTTGGATGTCGTCCTTGAATTCAAAGAAAAAGTCCCACAATTAAAGGAGGGAAAAGCTGTTGTAGACGTTGCTGACGGCATCAAAACAGGTTTGGGAAAATTAGGTTTAACACGCTTTAACGCTGGCGCATCGGTCATCCACACAATCACAGTAACTTTACTTGATAAATCCTCCAATAAGTCTTTTTATTTTACTTGAAGTACAATAATTATTTACTAGTTATGAGATGACCTTTAATAGAAACAGCAAATTTAGAAGATGGCATCCCTCTTTTTAAACGTCTGTAAGAGGGAAATGCAAATAACCTGACATATTGTCGTAGTTTAGTAAGGAATTTACCCGAATGACTGAATTTTTACAGGCTATAAACACATTCAGTTTGCAGGAGTTTCATCGATGCTTTCGTTTTTCAATATATCCCAGTCGCGACGTTACGTCGGAACTACCAATTTGAGTAATTTTGCCTCAGATAATGTCGAAAAAGGACCAAAAATGTGACAACGGAAAATAAGATGGCCTTCTTCGAACAAAAGCGAACCATTTCGACTTAAAACTCACTGAGTGGTATAGTTTCGCGCTGTGTGTAATTCGTTCAGCGGCGGCTTGTCCGACATCAGAGTTGCCGCATCAGGTTTGAGTGCTGTATTCTATATTCTTGTAATTTTTGTAATTTAACTTCAGAAATCCAGATCTTAGACAATGCCATTGATCTATCAGATAACCGGTTCCCGATTTAGGCTAAATTGTAGTACGAGGTGGTTGGACGAGATTGGTGACAAGACTATGTAAATTTATCACCATTACTGGTAACTTTTGTCTATCTATTCTGATTATTCTCCAACAGAAATATCTTGTCTTCGTTTACCATCATTTGTGACGAGAAATTATGTACCTTTTCATTGTCCCTCAGGGCTCAAGCCCTTCAGCGAAATTGGCGCTCGGGTTCGATCATGCTAAGAACATCGTTATGACAGCAGTACTAAGCAAGCAATGATGCCTCCAAATTCAAGTCTTTCGAACCAATAATTATAACTAAATGGATTACAAACTTACCCAACTTTTGTGCTGACTGAAGTGAAGGGCTTGGGAACGCCTGAAAGGGGCAAATAAAATTGAGGCACGAAATTATTTTATTTTATTGGAGAGTTCAAGAAGCACTGGTATAATGGAAAGAAATTTAACACATTTCAATCAATATTATTTTAACGTAAATGAATACGGGCATTGGCATGGAAATGTTTAAGAAATCGACATGGGACCATTGTGCAAAAAAACTAATGTTAATTTACATTCACACTAAGTTACAAACATCTCACGAAGCTTTCATTGATGCCATGAACCTCGGTCTAACATCGTGGATGTTTAGCCCTAGACAATTACAGATATTTACCACATCTACGTCAATCTCAGGAATTTGCCAACCCACTCGTGAAATTACTGCCAAGGCGGGCCGAAGACAACCACATCTGGACATTTCAAAACTATCCATCTATCCTTTGGGAACGTGTAAGATACCTCTCCCCCTCTCCATGGGATTACAAAAGAGGTAATTTTTCTGATGATAAAAATAAGTTCATTAAAGTCTACCCTCAAGCCGCAGAAAGATCCTACTAGTTTTTCGGCCATCCAGAGAAGGGTGGAAAATCTTCTCCAAAACTAATCGGTCATTTGAACCGCACTCGAATAAAAGTAACTTCTGAACCTTAATTTCCTGACAAACACAGATTTGCTCCCGCATCTCAACGTCCGCCGTGACTATGATAAAAATAACTTGAACGCATGGAATACAATACAGAAAGGAACTGTTCTGAGCATGATTTTGGGCTTAACTGCCACCACTTCGTTGATTGGTCATACAAGAACGGCAAAAACGGGTAGCAATCGCGTATTCTGGCCCACTATAAAATTCAGTCATAAATACGAATGGCTAACCAAAATTTTTGTTACCAATACGACTTTTGGTATATTAACTCGAAAGACATGTCGAAGGCATCCTCAACTTGAACCTAACCCTCGCCTCGACTAGTAAAAGAAAGCTCTCAAAGTAAGTGTTCTTTTTTTTGTTCGAGAAGGATGAGCGCAGAGGGGCAGGAGGATCTCAAAAGGCAGCACATTTGACAAACCTCCGAGATAGGGCGCATTGTGGTAGTGTATGAGCAAATGCTGCGAAAGAGACAGTCGTCTTCTCAGTAGTTACAGATGTTGTTGATTTTAATATAAGATAGAGGCATATGTATTGGTAACGATAATAATATTCAGTCCCTCACAAAAAATAGTGGACATAGCGTAAGGAAGAGGAGGCGGAGGGGTACGGGTAGATGAAATCATAAATTATTAAAATTGGCGTGATCACGGGCGCAGTACTCTCTTTGGGATGCAGGCACGCGCGCACAGCTTCTTAGAAGAAATACCAACCGCGCTGTTGTGGGTGAGTGTGCGTTTTTGTGGGGAGGGAAGCGAGACGACTGGCAAGTGGGACTAATAATGCGGGGCGGAGGGTGGGAATGGGGAAATATTGCACAATTTTTACAGTGTTGACATAAATGAGATGAAGGAAAACAGTGTCGTCGTCGTCATCGTACTCTTGTTAGACTTGAAACGAAGAGAGAAGCAGAGGCATACGAAGGGCAAGAAGGGAGAAGCAAGCGGACTAGCAAGCTGTTTGGTCGCTTGAATGATTTGGAAATATGCTGAGGGGGTGGGAGCATGCACGCACGCACACTTGCATGCGTACACACTTCCTCTCCCCCACCTTCACGCGCGTGTCGGGACGTTGCGCACGTGCACAAGCAAGAGACGATCGATAAACCAGTTCAACATGCGCACAAGCCGCGCGCCGTCGTCGCGATGCCCGAGCGCGCACTATCGATTTTTGGACAGGCACGTCCGCGCGCAGATGCGCATACTGAAGAACGCACGCACACGAACGCGAATAAACATGTGTTTACAAACACCCACTCAAGAGTGGGCAAGCGGGGATTGCTCACAGACGCAGATATAGCTGATTCTAGAGGGCAGCCAAGGGGATATACAAAAATATGTTTGTTTTTCGTCTCTCAGACCGGGAGATTCGTGCACACATTCTCCTTGCACGTGCGCCTGATTACGCCGCGTGCCTGTCCAGATGAAGCCGTCGAGCCTCCTTTTTTGAAGTGCACAGGGATGCAAAAATATGCGCATGTGTATAGGAAAAGATGAAATTTCCAGTTAAGGAGATATTCTTTTTCAGTATTTTATAAAACCGTCAGTGTCAGAATAGTCGTGCGAATCGTAACTGGGTGATAGTATGATGATGACAATGACGACGACGACAACATTTAGATAGGATTACCTTCTGTTATGGTCTCAATGTTTGGTTTGAAGGAGTGAGGAGGTGGGGTGAGAAAGAGCGCGGGTTAGTGTCGTCGAAAGCGCTTCAGCGGGACGGGGAGTGAGGGGGAAGTGGAGGGGAGGCTGCCGGTAATTGAATTTACGGAGTCAATTGTAACAAAGGTGTTAAAGTTTTCGGCTGAGGGAAGACCAGTCCGTGGGGGAAAACAGCCAGCTGGCATCACACCGGGAACGCATCGTCGTGGAACACCTAAAAGGTGTGTTTGTTTGTGAAGGAAACCAAGTGGAAACTTATAACCTTGACAAAATAAAAGTGAAGGCTAGGGGCAAAAGTCCCCAATTTAAAAATAACACTCCTTACTGTTATTATTATTATTATTCTACGCACTGAAAGAAAGTAAAAGGCCCAATTTACTCCTTATTGATAGTCTAAATAAAGGATAAAAGGAAATTCGAGGTACAAAGGACACCCTAGTGTAATCAATCATATGATGGCCTTGATGATAATAGACGATTTTCAAAGTTGTTAATTGCATGACTTTCGAAAAGTAAGGTGATACCAACTGAAGTGCGATAATAAATTCAATCGTCTCTACAACGTTAACCGACGGAGGTAAGATCATGGACCAAAGTAGACTTTGCGAGGAAATTAATATGATCAGAGAATCGGAACCATAGTAACTAATGGGAAGGCGAGAAGGCAGGCTCAAGCCTAGTCAAGACAAGGACCACCTATAGCTGGGCTTAGTTTAATCAGAGTCCACTTAAAAAGCAAGTTGTGTGCATGTGTAAGCTCTAAAAAAATAAAAGCGCTCATATCCAAACACTTGTTCGATAAAGAAAAAGGCAACGGTGATGAAACAATTGTCCTTTATTCACAATGCGCGTGTGCTTCTGCACATCGCCTTCTAGTCATGCACCTAACACGCGCGCTCCTTATTTTTTTCTCCTCCCCTTTCCCTCACTCGCTCGCTCTATTCGCCCCTTCGACAGTAATCGTGAGTTTTGGCCTTCTGTGATATATTAGTCCTGCGTCAGCCACAAGAAGTACCCTCAGCAAGAACCGCGGTAGTAATAAATAAGGGAGCTTTTTAGGAGAGGAAGTCGGAAATAATATGATGATGAAGAAATGGCGCTATTGCCATTGAGGAATATGGAGTGAGCACATTTTGGTCCTCTCAGGGTGGTAGCAAAAAGTCACACCGAAGGCACCAAACCCTCCCGTAGGAATATCATTTCACGCCTCAGCTTTCCTGCTGGTCCAATTGAAGTGAATCCAAAACTGAAGCGCAATGTGAGTCCCAAAGAAACCAGTCATCATGCAAATCAACGGACTGTCGCTTTGTGAACATTCCGCGAATTTCTACTAAATCCTTAGGTCAACAGAAGACCGCCGGTACTTCAGTCATATCGTCATATTTTAAATTCCATTGCCAAATAAAAGAAGCACACACAAACAGTAATTTTCATGATGGATAAGGTGGAGACATCACTTGATCAGGAAATAAGTAAAAGTAAATTTCGAGTAGGTTAAAGAGAAATGCAAAAGTGACCCATAGCGCAAGTAAAACGCTATCTGGACATCTGCACTAAGAGCTCTACGTAGTTTCGATATAGCCTCATTATCTCGATACCTCAATTTTTCAATTCTGACGTAGTTCGGATGATGATTGGAAGCGCAGGCAGAACGAATTTCCGGACGATTTCAAATAGCAGCTACGGTTAAAGTTGGATAATTATGAATAATAGTCGAAAAACGATATGTCATAAACTTTACAGAAAATCCCCTCCGTAAGTATCTCAAAGCATCAAACTGAGGTTTAAAAATGTGTTGATTTGCTTTAAATTTCTTTTACCGGTTAAAATACTATTTATGAATATAAAAGCTAATAATATGTAGAAACAAGATTGCTATTGGTGCATTAGCAGCTTAACACAATGGCGCCTCCAGAATGGTTTAATTCAGGAGAAAATAAAACAAATCCATTTAGGTAGTAGAGGTGGTCGAGAAAAAAATTTTAGAGAAAAAAGATGGAACGCTCCAACCACGTCATCAGACAAACGAAAAAGGGGGCTAAGCATGCCTCAGCTAGGGATACCACAGTTTATTTCAAATCACAAATGCGAATTTACTCATACAGAGAGGTTTTAATGTAATCGAAGTAAGATTGCCTTGGTCTCAAATAATTAAATAAACGAATGATTAGAATAAAAGAATTCATTAATCACTCAGCAATATCGGCGAATTCAACAAGGCATCACATCACAAGGACAACAAGATAGCCCATCTAGTAATGCAGTTGGGTTGTCTGTAAATCCACAAATTTAGCACCATTATCTAATAAATGACCATACCTTAGAGAGAGTGGAATTTCCAAGCTTTCATTTAAGGTAGGATTGTCCAAACAGATTTATCGACAATATTATTCCGTCGGGCATCAGTTACACCCACTTCTTCATCATAGCAAGCTTCTACCATTTTTAACCACTAAGAGTCAGATTGTTGTCCCATATAAATTCCTCAGAAATTAAAAGTTCATTGTTTGAAGAATCAAGACTCTAAATAGCAACCGCAAGAAGCAAATTATTTTGGATGAACCTGTGCCATGCCAAGTGAACAAGTTAATGGCAAATAACAAAAGGATTTAAAAAATTGCTCACCCGGTCGCGATTGAAAGGATTCGCCAGCTCTTCCACCACAGGCCTGTACAGAATTAACATCGCTACTACCACTGGTATCTCCGACAGTGTTTCTCATGGAGAAATACATGGACGACGGTGTGTGCTGTGGAGGCTGCGAGTAGTCATCCATCACTGGAGCCAGGACACTACCCCCAGCCGAGTGCTGATCCGGCAGACTTCCACTGTCCCATGGCGTCGCATTCACCCCCTCACCACCGGCCGAATAATTCACCGTCGGAGATTTACGCAGCTGCAGCGGTCCGTCGGGATCTGAGCTCATTGAAGAAAAGAAGTCGTTGCTTGTGCTACTCGTAGGGCAAAAAAGGAGATTGGGGGGAGGTGGGGGCGGCTGGGGATGGGGTATCATCTGGTGCTGCGGCCTCGAGTGAGCAAACAGCAGGTCGTGAGCGGAGGTGGTAGGGCTGATCGATTTAATGCACAGACCCGGAGAGGAGGAGACCGAGGCAATGTGATGAGAGGTCTGTTGGAGGTCGGAGTCGGAAAGGTAGGAGCCACCCCCTCCACTACCGCCACTACCACCACCGCTGCTACCGCTGCCGACCCCATTGCCAGACGGCACCACCATTAGATTGCCACGAAGGTAGGCGGCGGAACCCGAGGCATGTCTAGTGTGAGAGTTACTGAAAGGACTGTTCGCGTAGCCCCCAGCGGCAGAAGCACAACGTGAAGACTCCTGCGCAGCGAAGGGAGTCGCTAGGTTGGGGTTGGGGCAATGCTTTGCTGCAGGCGCCTTTAGAAGACTCGAACGACTACACAGGTACGAACGGGGATCGAAATCTGAATCCACGAAGTGGCCATCAGTAATGGCAAGAGCTGACGCAGGCTGCAAGAATAGAGTATGCGTGTTTTGTAGTTGCGTACGACACTGGTGTTTGCATCGCATGCTCTGGATGATATGGCTTTCCAAAAAACATCCTTGGATGAATGTAAAAAAACAAAGCTAATACGGATGCCGATTTCCCAAGTTTGTAACTACGAAATTTTCGTTTCAATGCACGAAATGTAACGCTTTGGCGCATATGAAGAGGTCCATACTAAATGACAAACAGTAGAAAAAAAGGGGAACTATACAGCAGAATAGTGGTACTACAAAGAGTTACAGCTTTCCCGTTCAAACAAACACGAGCAATTTGCTATGACATAACTAAACGCTTTCTCCACTGCCAAAGGGGTGTAATGCCCCGTACTGGTCAACGGTAGTCACCTTTCAAAGAAGGGGAGCTTCCTAGACCGACCGTCCCCACACTGTTCGGACAATGTTAGGCGCCTTGCTGTTTAAATTAGCTTGCGCACTATAATCAAAACACTCTCATCCAAAAGGGTAATGACTTAAAAATGGGCTTACTTTACGGTATTCCGTGTAGTGGAACAATAAATTACAGTCTGGCGGCGACGAGGTCCACCAAAACCTACTCAACTCCGGTTGAGGGTTAAACTGACTCGAACGAATGTGTAAAGTTAATAAGTGATTCAAAGCGCTCGATCGACGCAACGTGGAAATCGCCTGTCTGAATTTTCCTTCAATACAAATTAAGGACCCCCAGTTTGAGATAGTGTTTGAATCCATGGCGCAGTAACAAATACATCCTCGGCTTGCGTGGATAAGGGGTATGATTATTCTTTCAAAACCGCGACGCCAGTCAAAATTTATCTCAAAGAAGAAATGTTATGCAATAAATTTAGAGCAACTCAGGCTGCTTCTCATCCGCTTTGTGGCCTCCAAAAAGTTGTAATTTCATGCTTCTACCTCTCATGTTTGAAATGAGAGGTTACCTTAACATGACGGTAAACAAGTTGCAGTGTGTTGAAATCGCAGCGTCGCAGTAAAAATACACCTGGCAAGTAAATCATGTACTGACAAGTACATACATGTTTTACAAGAAAGCTGTTTCTGTTACATGCTTAGAAGGCCGTGGTATTGTAGAATATATTTTGTGAAAATCAGCACTATAGAAAAACTATTTGGAAGATGCCTTTTCAACGTAGGCTTGAGATTAAAATACCCAACAAACGGATGCTCCTATTTGAATCAGATGAGTATGGTGTGTGTGGGTGATACCTTGAGGTATTTTTAGACTGAAATGGCGAAATCATGGGTGGAGTGCATATATAGCTTTAATACAATTATAAAGTGCCAAGATATTCAGAGGAGTTGCAAAAAAAAGCAGTCTTGGTTAAACTTTGTAAATGCTGTCGTCAATAGGCAATAAAAAACAGAGGAATGGTCTTTCAGCCATATGCAAACTTCTGATTTTGCGTATCCTCGTTGGAATCTACAGCATACTGGAAGTGCCAGATCTGCCAAAACCACAACCACTGAAAAATATATCGTCATGCATTACTGGTAAAAGGAGTCTTTTCGTTATTATGGCGGACAAAGTACTTACCTAAGAGGGATTTGCGAAAATGAACAAAATATTTATTGAAGAAAGGACTAAAGTAGAAAAACAGACCGATTAGGTGGAATTATTAATTCACCGAGTTCTCAAAACCTGAGGCGGGGTCGATATCGGAAACCGCTCAACTCTGCGATCAGCACAAAAGTTCTCGAAACATATCGAGAATGATAAGGTCTTGAACTGAAATAATACAACCATAAACTACACGCACAGTGCGTAAATAGGCTTAGAGAATTCGATGATGCAAAGAGTTGGAAGCGAAAAAGTCAATACTAGAGGGCTAAAGCGCCGGCAAGTAGCACAATAAGACACTACCACTACTCGAGCATTCAACTACCCACGTACCCTGTTGAAGTGAATGGAAAAATAGATCTAAGCAATAACCCTGAACAAGAGATGAAGAGAATGGAAAAGCAACTGATAGGCGTTAGAGGAGCGTGCAATAAACGTATGAGGGCACACAATGGGACAATTTCCTTAAGAGCTCAAGACTACAGAACGTCACCACAAGTCACACCCTTGCGCCATCAGGCAAAATTGCATATCTTGGCGCTAGTTACACGCCTGGTTAAAAAGTGAATGAGACCATTTTACTTTTTAGTCTCGGCACATTCAGTACTCTACAAAGGATGAATTCCATGGTAATGCTGGTGTTTGTTGCCCGTTACATTCATAATTATCCAATTGATTCTAGGGAAACAAATATTTAGCTCGGATTTCCAAATTCACAATTCATGCTCAGGATAAGCCATTGCTCTCAGTTATAACTTAAACAAATACAGTATCGAGGCTTTAGGTACCCAAGAAAACTATTAATGAGCACTAAATTCAGCAAATGGTTATCATATGAACTTTGAAATCACTTAAATCAGATGTGGAATCCCGCGGTTAAACACGATGTGTTTTTATCTCAATAACTCCAGAGGTCTCGGTTGAGCATTGCAATGCGCAAAACAGTGATGGGACTGAATTCAATAAAGGGGAATAAAAGTCAACCAGTGTGAAGAACAATTAAAGATGTGTCTTAATTGCTTGACGTAGTATAAACCAACTTCCAGGGCTAGCACGTTCCATCAATGCTAATAACGCACATACCTCAAGTTACTTCCTAGCTATTGCACCTAGGGTATTAGCGGACTCAAAGTCAACAGAGAAGGGGATGAAATCGAGGATATGCAGCAATTGAAAAATGCGAACAGATTCCGTGAAAGAGCCTAAGGTGAGCATAAATAAGTACACTCGAAGAAAGTGAAGTAGCTAAGCCGAAACTGTGCTTGTCAAACCGTGATTTTTTGCCTTCATGCACACAAATACTGTTCTGACAAGACTATTACTTCCACACATGAACAAAAAATTTTCGCGCGTATAGACAAACTTTAAAGGAGGGGATTTAAAAATGACCATGAGAATTATTGAGAGAATGCAACCCAGAGCATTGGAGAAGAACAGGGATTTGCGATCCCTGAGAGCACTAGTTTACGTGGTTGCAGTTGCCAAAATAGGGGAATTTTGTCAAGTACATTTTAATACGTAATAATTAAGATAGATGACTGCCACACTTGAAGTTAGGTGAAATTGACATGAATAGTGGCACTATCAATGGTATAGTGAAGTCATACAGGAGTGGTTAACACAGCGATGAATATATCCGCGAGTTTGGAAAGTGCATTGCACAATTTATGCACACTGCCAAATGTGTATTGACGCCGGAGACCAATAAAGTGCTCCACGATATCAACACACGTTGCTCGCCACATTACATTTTTCGGATTTACCGGCATCTTTAATGTATAGGCTTCAGTGCACCAAAGTACACGTACATTCTAAAACTGTTGCCTCGGTTAAAAATGGGGAAGGACTATACAACCCTATTTGCTGGTGATATAGTTTCAAGGGAGAAAGGGACAGAATTCGGAGAAACAAAATCCACGAAATAATCGCTGATCTCACGCATCCCCCAAAGTGTACGCACCCGCAACCATACACAAATGCACACATACACGATGTAGAGGCCAGACATCCCTGCCCGCACGGAAAAGAAGAGGCGCATCTGTTCGGTATGATCCACAGATGGGCGAAAGGCAGAGAAATTTATCGTAATTATTTATCTACACTCAACAGGGCATTCATACGCGCACACACCGGTGCTACTAACAAGTCAAACCATCCCAAAACATCCCTTCGACTTTCAGAAGTGTCAACAATAGTAAAACTTCAAGGATTTCGCAAAATGTAGACAAACGGTAAATTTGTCAAAGAAAAAGCTAGGCTGAAGATTTCACATTTGCTTTCTACAACGTGCTCAAGCCCTTTAAAGCAAGTATATGCAGGCTTTAGGGTGTAGTGTAATCAACGAGACATTCCGAAGGAATGGTAATAACATTGTAGCAAAGTGAAAGCTAATTGCATACTTATTCGGGATAAAGTCCTACCAATTAAAACAGACAGTAAGTTTGGAGCGAATGTGATCCCTGTGACTAAAAACACAGCTTAAAATAGTTAAGAATGAACTATGATTGAGAGGGAATTTCACCGTCCGACCTAGCATGAAAAGGAAAGTATGCCTACCAAAAAACAATGGCTACTTTTTTGGGGACTGAACAAAATACAAATACAAAGCTCATACCTTGAATCCGATTCAACGAGAAAAACATGGCAACCACAGTAATATGTTAATATCAACTTCAAGATACTCAAGGGAATACATGAATCGGTTCATTTAAATTGTCTTTCGTACACTGCATAAGTTTATTGATTAAAGGTTACACAGGAAGAGCGTTAATATATTATTGGTGTAACTTGATCCCACAATGCCACCATTTTTACAGCGAAAATATGCACCCAGGCGATTGCAGAAGCTAGCAGTTCTGATATAAAACTAGTGTTCATGCTAAGAATTAAGAAAGTGAGAATTTTTGGAAACAACTTTTCAAAAATAATAATATGAATGGTATACTGAAATAATGAAAATGGGGTGTTTGTATTTACATGAGTAACGATGAAATGGCAAATCATTGCAGGCACGACTTTTCCATGAAAAAAAAATAATCGGACGGGGAAGTAGGTGCGCCAAAGTTGCGGATGAATGCCACTTCACTTATAAATGGGTCCAGAAAAACAAAATGATTCGACATAGCCTTATCGTTCAAATCACCCAAAGTCTCCAAAGACAATTATTTATCTAGTATTCCTGTTAATAAGCAGTTATGGTAACTAGCGGTTAAAGTATATCACCGTCTATTTACAGTTCATAATACGAAAATAGGCTTTGGTTAAAATAGCCACATGTAACGCATGGCCACTAGAAGGCCTGCATTAGATGAGTTAATGGAGGTTCGATTATGCCAATTAAGGCAACGTACCCTATATCCCACGTAATAATGTTGTGGGTTCTGAAAAACGTGGAACACGGAGCATTAGAAAATGCAATTTCGTTTTTGGTATTGAGAGAGGCTTAATAACCTATTCGAGGGAATATACTCATTATTTTTACTCCCTTTGGACCAAAGTGTACAGATAGACGCGAATATTGGAATCTGGCACAAATTTTCGCGTTTATTGAGTCGCCGAGGTTTAGTGAAAGGTGTAAAACTCTTACCCTGACCATTAAAGGGGTTCCTGCGTGTTCGCTCAATCTATCAATCTCCCTGCCTCCAGCACTGGCCTGCTGGCCATCTGGATTCTTGTCCGAGCAATTGACAATGTCTTTGATCTCCTCACCCAGTCCTACCTCGTCTTGTGACTTCATCAGACAAACCTCGGGCGGAGCCACGAGGTCCGGCAGTCGAGTGTGATGTTGGTTGGGCGGAGGCAGCACGAACATTTTTGTGCCAGGCACGTAGCCCGAGGGTCCCTCCTGCTGTGGCTGACCAAATTGACCGAAAGGAAGCGCTCCTGATCCCGAGTCCACAACAGAGTAGTCGTTGGGTAGGTCGGAGGGCTGCGAAGGTGCTAGACAGTCCTCTTCATCATTTTCCTCTTCCTCCACCAGACCACCGCCCCCATCGCCGCCACTTCCAACGGTTGAAAGGGTAGTACCATTGCCGGTGGCCACTATGGGCGGACGCAGAAGACCGTCCAAAGCATCCGAACCATGGCCCGAGGAGGCTGCCCCCGTGCGGTAAGCGAAAACATTCGCAACAGCAGCCACTGCAGCACTGGGAGTCTTCTGGTGGTAGTCGAGAGTCGGTGCTGTTGGTGAACTCCCACTGGTGTCCGATAAGCCCGTAGAATTAATGGGCAGGCTATAGGATTTGTTATCCCGTTTGTTCAGCATCTACAAACATTGGTTGCCATATTTTAACTCTAAACCATTCCTAAATTTCATAAGGTGCCAGGATTCCCGTCTAACACGAGTGGTGAAAATAAAAACAGTGGTATTTGTGAAGTGTATCAATCTTGTGACAGACAATCGTATAGTTTTGAGGAAAATCGCTCAAGGACCGAATATTTTGTATTGTGTGGAAATTAACGCAATTTATTTAGCGTAGCTGTTTTATATTGCAGTTCAAACAACAAACATAAAATAGGGCTTCTCATAAGTTTGTTGGAGGATTTATCAATAGTTACACGCACAACAAAGTAGACCAAATATCTCTCCAAACGGGATTCACGAATGTATGGATGAAATAATAATAGGCACAAAAAGGAGGCTCCAAAGTGGTTCGTAAGTTTTTAATGGTACAGTTTTCAACACCACGGAACAAATGTGAATTCAGGGTATTGCGGTGCCAGTCGGTGTTAGGGATGGTTGAGCCAAAACACCCCAGATCAGAAGATTAATGTGATTTAACACCCAAACGTCGTGCGGTTTGGAACGTGTTAGGACAATTAACATAGCAATTAAACTATAGGAAAATCGTAATATTTATGCGAAGATAGTTTTGATCGGTGGCGAAGATGTGGGACCAATGGCAGACAATGAGTACTCACGTAGTCAGGGTTCGAACCGCTCTGGACAAGAAAGTATGCCACCCAAAAACGCTAGAGCAAGATAACGCCAGAAAAAAGTTCAAAGAATAGGTACTAAAACAGCCAAAATACAGATGTCACATGAGGACAAATGGGAAACCATCCGAGAAGTCCCAGTTTGTTATAAATGTTGCGAAAGGCCCACCGACCAAAAAGCTTCAAAGGCCAGTTCTCCTCCAATCAGATGAGCGTTGGATTAGAGATAAAGCGAGTCAAGGAGTTTGCAAATGTAAACAGGTTACTGCTGTGGTGAGTAGTTCCTTGGCATGTCAAATAAAGAATACTACAAACGAATATCTACGACTTTAACACTGCATCTTGCTTTGTGACATAAACACGATTTTATAGAACACGGATACTTGAGATTTTCTTTGTTTCAGCGCTATGTTTAGGTAGCCAAGATTATATTGCGCATTTTAAAGGACATACCAGGAACAAATTCGTACTATACACCAAACATTATTACGGAAAATGGATGCAGATGGCTCGAAAAATGCCATTATTGTGCAACAAAAAATCCTACAAGGTTAACGGAGCACCGTGGCTTAATTCCAAATACTCATCAATGATTCTTTCATCAGCATTTAGCAAAATCACCGACTCTTTCCAAGGTCTAAGAGCGTGAATGTAGAGGATTTTCATACCGGTAACTTGATTCCAAAAAACTCTAACCACGCAAGACATGGATGTAGGAGAACCCTATAGACAATAATCAGTCGGACAGCCCACATAATATTACAAAATGAAGTCACGCAAAAAGGGGAGGACATGGAATGCATAATAGGAGTTGTTAAATGAGAGTTTATCAGCAAAGCTATTGCAATAATTGGCTTATTTATCTGCCGCTTATCTAACGAACAGAAAGGAAAATTACTTATCATTGAGCACGGAACCTGAGTCGAGTCACATATTTAATGCCCGCGTTGGAATTTACAGTATCGTCTGTGAAAGAAGCTAGCAATAGAAATGTGCCGATCTTGCGCCGTATTTACGGAAGAAATCCAAGAACTAACGTGGCAGTTTCCGCCTGTTAGTCAAATTTTCATTTCTTGCCTAGATCTAAAGTTACATTCCTTTCTATTAAATTGCACAAGCAAAAAATACCAAAAAAAGGAAAATAACTGAGTATCAGTAAACACGTACCGAAACAGTTAACCTTTTTGATCATGTCCGTAGAAATCGTGATAAGTGGTGAATTTTATGCAGTCGATACAATAAAAACAAACTCAAGCCTCATCACATTGTTTTACAAAAGCAGATTAACAATTGCTACACTAGTTTTCAAGGTTTACTAGAGGTCAGCTCCCCAACAGAAGGGGAATGATCCCAAACTACCAAACTGACTCGATTCGATGACCAGAATTCTCCATCAAAATGCGGAAAAAGTGAAGCGAGCTGCTGATATGGTCATACATATGTCCGATTGAGGTTACAGTCATTCGAATACTAACAATCACATGGAAGACCCAGATTTTAAGGGCAGAAAGGAGTATTTTTGCGGACTTCCCACCTATATATCATCCTTAGCTGGAAAAGAAATAACAGATGCACCTGAAGTCTAGAGGTGCCTAAACAAACAAACCGTTACCAGTGTCACCTGTCCACCCACACTAGAAGAATTGAAATCTTTTTCTGCATACACACAAATGCTCGTCCCGAAAGTAAAAAAGGGTGCACATGCTGACCTCCCAGAGCCACATTTGGCAGGGCTTGCGTGAATATACGAGGTGTCAACGTGCTTCCGTTATGATTGCATGGGCGGGTGCGCACGCCTACTACCCTTTTGTCCCTACCCCCCTTCTCCCAAGGCCCCACTACGCCACATCACCCCCGCTACACCATCACGCTCCCGCTGACGTACATACGTGCACGAACAGTCCGAGGGGTCGTGCGGCCAGAAGCAGAAGAAATCAGCGGTTGGGGGCTAAGTATATTGTTATAGGTGAGAAGTGTGTAATGACTCAAACTGGGGTCTGCGTGGAAATGCACAAAAGGAATTATTTGACAAGAGACTGGTACTATTTTCACTGACCCCTGAGGTCTCATATACGTGATGAGCAGCAAAGTGTCCTATCTCATACAAAACTAAATCAGAAAATTGGCCACCCTAATTCTATTTTGTGTATAATAAACAAGCTACATAGAAAGTAACTAACTAGAACCCAATATTTGCACACTGTTTAGCGAAACTTTTTTTGAAGGGTACTTGCAGACTAGAAGTATCTCAAAATGGGAGTAATCGTGCAGCTCTTTGTAAAGAATGGCAAACTAAGGTAAATATTTAGGCTATGCATGATTTGTCGGCTGGACGTTCCAGAAAGAAGCATATTTGTGGCACGGGTCACTGTACAGCATCTGATTCAAGCAGTTGACGCGGAGGTAATGGGATAACGTTCCTGAAAATATCGCAGAAAAAGTGACTGACATTGAAAAAAGAGGATCTCTGCAATAAGCAATTTGAAGTTATTAGTGTTTTGCAGAAATTGCCCTCCTTAAGGTCATGGATACGAATAAAGCTGGTTGGACTTTGGACTTTGATTGTCGTATACTCAAACCAAATCCCATAAAATTAAGAAAATGAATATGCGATAGTTTTCTAAGGTCTTGAGGCAAGGAAACAGAGAGCGTGGGTGTTGTTTAGCCAGCCTGATAGGAAATAGGTCAATTCCCAGTGGAAATTAAGTAGCCAAATGATGAGCCGTTTCCTTGCTCTGGATACATACGCTTCTATAAACATAACAATATCACCTTCCAAAGAGAGTTAGGTTCGGTGAACTTTGGGCTTATTGCGAAATCCAAAAAAGTAAGGTTGTATAATTGAAACTAGGATGCTGAAAAGTAGGGTTAAGATCGCACAACATTGGTCCTAGATATGCTTTGGAAGTTGAGCATCACTGGGAAAAGTGTGAATAAAGTTACTAAAAAGTACAAAGTGTGCTTGAAAATATTAAGAAATTAACAAATATTTATAAACATGAATTGGTGGTAGGTTTTGCTTCACTTTTTGGTGAAACGACTGGTTAAGGGACTATTATCTAATAAATTGGTGAAAAGGTTTACGAAAAGTCGAAGAACTGGCAAGACAGAAATTAGCACAAATATCGTAGATGAATGCAAAATTGAGGGGTTTGGTAATTTAACGAGAGTTGCTTTAATGGTGGGGTGATAAGTCAAAGGTCAGAAGGTTCGTTACGGAGGTTTCCTTCAACAGTTATCCTACCGAATAAGTTTAAGAAATGTTACCGTAAAGTTTATTTCAGCCATCAACATTAAAATTTGCCCTAGGGTGTCAGTCCATGAATAGCGCCTTTGGTGTGTTCGTGTTAATGATAAACACCAGCAGGGGCGATGCTTTGCCAGGTGGCCAATTGATAAAATTTTCTTGCGAAAAAAGTCATACTTGCAAAATGAAAACACCTGCGATGACACAGGACTCCAGTAGTTTTTTAGCTTCTACAACCGAAGGCCACAAAAGCAAACCAGTTACACTTTGAGTATTTGCATTTTCTAACTTAAATAAACGCAACCGAAATGTTGAGCAATTAAGTTTAGATAATTTACTCAATAAATATTTATTGAATGCTGCATACTAACACACCGATTTCGTTATCGTTAGGCAACTAAAACAACCATGCAAATACACGAAAATCGGCAGTCTAGCTAGCATAATCATGGTTAAGATATCTTGACAAACGTCCCGTAAAAAGCATTACTGACTAAAAGCACGAAAATGGGGACAGGAAATAGCTATTTGGAGCAGGGTAGTGTCCGTTCACCAAGTGGTTATCCTCAGAGTGCAGCTAGGAGTTGGGAAGAAATGAGCATACAATGAAAGCTGGACAATGCATTGAACCACATGTTGTAATCCACGTTTAAAAATGAGTATCAGTTAGACACGAAATACTTCCGACCATGACACCGTCCATCCGCTAAGAGTAAAATACTTCAAATCAAATGGGGTAAAATTTATTGCCAGAGGCTATGTACTGATCACGTATTTCATGAGCAGTCGAAAGCCCAATGTACAATTACGGATTTTCTCCACATTCATGCGCGGCCAAGTAATAAGTTAGGGTGGATACAAAAAGACAGAAGAGTGATAAATCATGATAGCAATAATTCTAGACTTTGTGAGCGTGTGTAGCTGTGTATGCGTGCGTGCTTGCGGGTGAGGGCGTCTCAATTAAATTTAAAATATAAAAGGTTGCTCTACCCTCCCCCAGAGAGGGTGACACACAAAACCGCAAGATCATACAAAAAGCTGATAAGTATGCGAACAACAACAGCAGCAGCAGCGGCGTTGGCAGTGGTTTTATCGTGACAACTGACCCCCTAGCATGACTATTAAATTCTTTTATTCTGTTCTTCACTCAGCATTGCATACTTCCATGCATTGACTCAACGACAATTTTGCACCCGCTGAAGTGATTTGACTACTAACAAAACAAGTGGTTTTGTTTTTGATTATAGTTTCCTCGCGGTACATTACCCATGGAAAAATCATAGCCTAAATTAAACCCCTAAGGCAAAAGTTGATGCTCAGCAATCAATTATGTTCAAGAGCGCACATTAGTCAGGCCAACCAGCAGCTAGACTATCCCTCCAGACTTAGAATAGTACGATACCTATCGCATTACAACCATGGCGAATCATCAATGTACCATAAACAACTAGAGGCTGACCTGATTATGGGTTAAGACAACCCTTAAAAAATTTAGCCCACCGACAATGTAGGCCCTTATTGTAGACTCCGGGTACTGGGTACAACAGAACACCCGGCTGAAAAGCGGTGGACGAACTTTAAATTGTTTCTCGGCCATAACTGCCGATGCCCGAGACCGCATAACAGACATGGCAGTCTGACGTAGGTCAAATATGGCCATCTATTATGCCGTAATACTCTGCCAGTAAAAAAACTTTTAACACGTACAAACAGACGTAGCCAAAAAGCGTTTAACAATGCTTTCACAAATTATGGACGAGCGTAGTCACTAGTCCCTAAATACCACGAAAGGCGGGTGGGCAGAATCGATTAGTTAAAATACTTCATAAGCCATTGCAAATAAACAAACTGCTAAGCAAGGAAAGTGATAATTTTGGTGGTGTTAAAATAAAACAGTGTTAATATACTCGTTGGAAGATAATGTTTGAGCACATAGGCAATCCTTGTGCAAAGAAAGATTCGCTCGAAGCTGTTTGTCAGTCTTAAAGTCATTATTTGTAGCAATGTGCCTTCCAGTTTGGAAAAAAGACCGTCGAGAGCGGGGAATCAACTAATGCGAAATATGAAGAATAAAAAAATAAGCAAAAAATGAAGTCTATTTTACACGTTTGCCTACTTTTATAACCTAGAGAAACAACTACGCTACTGTCAGTCCTTACGGTGACTTATCAGGAGCGTAAAATCGGACAGTTTTAGCAAAGCAGTGTGCTATTACATTCCAAAGAATTAAAAATGAAAATCGAAGCTTATTCGTATGTAAATGTTGCTGACGCATGACAGTGGAACCAAAGACAATAAGGCTATGCCCACATCCGACCGATTAAGTGGTAAATGGAGAAAGTCCAAGAAAAAGAATTGAAGCGTTCATATTTTGAGATTCACTCCGACGTTCAACAACTTTGCGAACGATTGATTGTGTCGCGTTCACTAAATCCTCAAGCAGCCGTCGACACACACATACTTAAGCCCGTGCAAGTTTCTTTCACGCAATCGCATAAATTTAATGCCACCACATACACACTGGCGTGCATTTCTACTCCAAGACGGTGTGCGTCCGAGAAGTTTATAAAGTTCCTCATGAATAGGGTTTCCATTAGTGAAATACGGATAGAAACAGAGACACGGTCTGTAGAAAAGAACAAACAGAACTACGGAAGTTTTCCCTAAATAAGTACTAAGTCTGTCTAAGCACAACCAACCTCCTATCGCGATTGAAATGACTAACGACCAAAATTACTAACTAGTGTCAGCAAAGCTAACAAGAATCTATGAATTAACAGCGATTCCAATCTTATGAGGAAATGGGGTATTCAAGTAAGCAAAATGTAAGATAACGATTATCGGGTGGTGCGAAAATACGGCATTGCAAGTTGGCCTATCACCCTCCAGAAGTGAGCAATAAATTTAACTGATATGGTCCCCCATACGGATATTGAAAGGGATATTAGAATTAAACGGTAATCTTTTCAGCTGATAATAGCGATAATGCGCAAAGTGGGTCACGATAAATAAAATATATGGAGAATAGAAGCTAAGGAAGATTGATTTAGACGTAGTTCTGCAGCCGCGGATGGCATTATTTAACCGTTTCTAAAAGCTCAACACTTTCGTAACATCATCGGACTTTAGACGATAAACTGAACAAAAATATGAAAAAACTGATCCTTGGAAAGGTGAGCGTTAAAATATATGAAAGTATGATTAACAGTTGAATGGACTTTATGTAGTTCAAAAGGGAAATAAACTAGTCCAGGGGAAAAACTTGTGACAGGTTCGGGTGTTCATGCATAAGAGGAAGGATGAATTTATGAAGACGAATTTGATTTAAGGGTGAGATTCAAATTCTGGAAAGAGCTAAAGAAAGCTGACATCATTTAATCGTAGTTATGCTAAGTGGTTAGTAAGCCATTTATGCGCTTGGGGAATATTCGAAAACCATAAAGACGTTTTAAACGGCGAAAATAAGAGATTAGTGAAATGAAAAATATGCAAGAATGAAGGAAAGAGGATTCAAAGAGGGCCCATAAGGGTTGATAAAGGATGCACCGGATGTAATTCCGCAATCTTTGAGAATTATTGTGGTCGAAATAAACCCATCAAAAAAAAAATGAATGGACGACTAATACTTCCATATCCACTTAAGGCTCACGAGAGAACCTCCCACAGAAGGTGGTAATATGAACATTAGCAAAAAATGGACTATTTTAATCAACAAGACCACTTACTTCTTGGTATATAGCAAAGTCAAAACCCACCAGTTTATGTAATCATCATAAACCATTTCAGGTAAAGAAAGCACTGAACCACAATGGACGAGTGATACAGTGATATAACAACTTCAAGGCTAAGCCAAATTACTAAATACGAAATGCAATTAAGTATCTGATATTCAGGAGACGGAAATTAGGATAGTAAACAACTCTCTGACTTTGTGCGGCCCCCTAATATAGCATGGTTTGAAAAAGAAATCAAACGGACACATTAATTAAGGCTTGCGACGACAACGAACCGGCACTTTACCTGCAAAATCATTGGGCGATCGAAATTAATAGCTGCGACACACAGCATAAAAAAACACAAATGCCTAAAATAATAGCACAAACTATCCCCTCCTAAGAAAGAATCGCTGGAACAGAATAAGAGCCTACCTAAATCTGCGTGCCAAATTAACAAATACAACTACATGACTGGTACATAATGCAAAAAGAAGGCATTTTCTGAAAATGAACATGCAACTCACCTCTATGATATCCTTGTTGTTTTTCGACTCATGTGGTTCAGTATAATCTGTGTAACGAAGAAGGACATGATTAATGTCGGAGCTGGCGTATTGAAATAAACGCTTGGCACTGTTGAATATGATGAGAGCGATCTCACAGTCACAGAGTACGCTCAATTCGTAAGCTTTCTTCATGAGACCCAACTTTCTTTTCGTGAACGTCACTTGACGATTGCGCTCATCGTCGATCCGTTTGATTTCTATCTTTTTCCTTCCCATTTCAAATTTTCTTTAATATCAACTAAAACGAACGAAACAAACGAATAAGTCATGGAAACAAAAGTTGTGATGAACTGATAACTTTCAATAAGTTGTACAAAGCTATAACGAATGCCGTAGTCATACACAGACCTAAAAATGTTTAAAAACAACTACTAGGAAAAAGCCACTTTATAACCAAAAAGGATGCCAAGCTTATTGGCTAAAGTAGGGAACGTGATAGAGTATTAATATAGTTGGGAATTTAGACATATCGATACTTTCGCTAAATTCTAGTAAAGACAAGGTTGTCAAATGGATTGATGAACTGAAAACCATAATTGGGAATCTCATGATCAAACGGTTAATTACTATTTTAGAGTGGGATGGAGAGCACAAAAATCACTCAACTAAAATTCGTAAGCCTCAATTCGCCGAAAAAAGGTTATATACGTACGTGTGTGCACTAGTTATCAAGGACAACTAATGTGAATGCATGGTTGTGATACCAAGTTAAGGCAAAAATATGAGAAAAAAATGCGAGTATCCTAACGCCAACCATTAAAATAAGCAGTTCAGAAGAAGTTGCATTCTTCAAAACACAATACTGAGAGCATTGTATCAATGAGCAGGTCTTTATGCCAAGAATAAGAAAAGATCAATCCGACAAAAACTATTCATCAAGATAATACACAAGGACGTAGCTGACCCCCAATAAAATAAAGGCAAATACAAGCATACGTGCACTCACTAATGCCATTAGATAATTTAAGAGTTGTATATCCAAATAAAAGCATTTTCCAAAACAAATGAGAGTCCCGCCGATTCGCAGAACGTGAAAAAAGGGTAAGTGCAGCGAAAAAATTAAGTTTTACAAACGGTGCAAATTACTTAACACAAAGAAGGATGAACGTTTATTAACAGATTAATGGTATGTTAAAAGGGGAATTAATCAAGTATTCCAAAGGCCACTTCTAAGGAAAGAAGTCTTGGTTCATAATGGGTAACTAAGTAAACTTGGGAAGGAACCGTATCCGTAACGCTTTATAAACAAATCAACTACGACATGATAAAAATTAACATCTTATGTACTCAATTTAAATTCCATTTAAAACCTACAGACTTTCCCCACGCTTGGGCATCAAAACACGAGGAAACCCTGTCAATAGAGCCGCAAACGTAGCCCGTTTGTTTTATTGAACTCAATAGACTTAATTAGTTCAAGCAAACACAAGTATTGGTACACCATGGTCTCCACCATACCCGCGAAAATATTTGAAAAATTCCCATAGCTAGGTTCTGCAATTGATGCAGTGCAAAAGCGGCAAGAAGACATTTAGTCTAACACCAGCAAGCCTATGAAGTTTTAAGCAGTGAAGATAATACCTTATCGCTGCAATCATTCAGCAAATGCGCTCGTATGCACCAAAAAAGAGTGTATGTTATAGGTTCTTACTGCGAAGCTAGTTTGGGTCTATAGCAGAGCGATTTCAAACTTTCTTTGATAATAAACAGCATTGAACAAACATTAGATATAACAAGTTTTGCACTTTTTATTTATGTAAGCGAAAATTATTAAAAGTGCACCGATAACATACCCCTCTGTTACGTGCCCCAGATACGACTGGGCTGAAAGGCCACTTTCAAGCAGATATGAGTTAAATTTTTTAGCCGCTTCGGTTTTTTGGCTTTAATTGATTGTTTTTCTGAACTGACTGAAAATATCCAAGATATTCGTTTCTTTTAAGGCAGGCGCAATTTTGCCTCACGTTACCTTTTTAGGCTGCAAGGCTCACACAATCTGGTAAATTTTTTCTGATTAAAATGTCTTATGTTTAATAATTCTGTAAATGTGAGCACAACAGTTGAAAATATTTTTATTTAATCAGCCCACAATCTTGCGAACCTGCGGAATGCGCAATTTTCGAAATTCGTCGCTTGTCCGTTTTGGGTCGTTTTGGGTTATAGGAAATGAGTGGTGACACGCAAACTGAACGGGTTAAAGTCTTTTGTCGAATCAAACCAAATTGCGATGGTGGTGAAGAATGTATTAGTTACCTTGACGAAACTTCTTTATCCATTCAAAACATACGAGGCAAGTCTTCAAAGGTACCAGTTTTTGCGTAGCTCTAGTGAATATTTGCAGAGCATTCACGCATTTTCCCGTGTTTTCACTTCGAGCGGTTCCCAGTCGGAGATCTTCGGTGCCTGTCTTTTTCCATATGTAAAATGTGCACTCAATGGAGAGAATGGTCTGTTTTTCTGGTTTTAATAACGCTGTCTAGCTCTTTTTTTCAATTATGGCGTTACTGGAAGTGGTAAAACCTATACCATGCAAGGAACGATGAGTGATCCTGGACTTATCCCCCGTACTCTCGATACTATATTCAATTCAATTGCCTCAAATTCGACCCTGAAATATGTAGGTTTCGCGCGTGTTTTACACTTGTAGGTTGTGAAATCGGATGGACATAATGGGTTTGATCTCCAAACAGAAGCAGAAGCGATTATGGATCGTCAACGGTTTGACTACTCATCCAGACCACGAACTCCCTACAAGTCTGATTTCCCTTTATCGTGTCTAGAGGGTCGGGTGGTCGACTCTACTGTTGTTTCCCTCTCTCGAAATTACTTATATGCTGTATTTATAACATATATCGAGCTGTATAACGACACAATTTACGATCTGTTGGAAGTGTCCACTGGAGGTTGCGGAAGGTGAGTGGTTTCCTCAAATCTGATTCTTCTCTTTCTTGAGGCCTCTTACTCTCTACGAGGATGTCAATCGAAACGTTTACGTTCATGGAATTACTGAACTGGAGGTTAAGTCTGCAAATGAGGCTTTGAAAGCATATTACCAAGGTCAGAAACGTCGGCGTGTGGGTGCAACTGCACTAAATAAAGAGTCAAGTAGAAGCCATGGCATTTTCACTATTAGAGTTGTCCGCACTGGTTATGACAGTACTTACGATGAAGTTATAATGGTATGATTTCGCAAATCTCCTTTAAATGATGATGCCCTTTAATCCTCATCCTTTTTAATCGATAGGATAAGAGTTTGCTCTCTATAAACCAGCTTTGTTTAGTCGATTTGGCTGGATCAGAGAGAACTAATCGCAGTGGAACCACCGGTGGCCGACTTAAGGAGGCGGGTGAGCTTAATTTTACTACCATTTTTACGATCGGCTTGCGCATTGTTCACGGTTTCCGCTCTTAATAGCCACAATTAACAAGTCACTTCTGACGCTACGCAAATGCGTTGAAGTGTTGAGAATGAATCAGTCCGCGCGTGAGTGTCAAAATCCAACTGTACAACAACAAATCGTTCCGTACAGAGATTGCAAATTGACACGACTCTTCAAGTCCTTTTTCGATGGTTGCGGTCAAGTAGCCATTCTAGTATGTGTGCATCCAACCCTGAGTGAATATTCGGAGACTGTTGTGAGTGTCACTATCTTAGTTTTCACAGTCACTTCTCTCCGTTGATTGTCTTTATTCCCTTAGCACGTTCTTCAATTTGCGGAACACAGTCAGCAGGTCTCTACCACAATTCCTACCACACCCGCTAAAATTGACTATAATTCTACCCGAGATTCGAGGAAGTCCTCCGCTTTGTTAGTACGTTATAGATTTTACGCCAAACCTAACTAGTTTTCGTGGTAAATGCACGTTATGCACTCGGTCGGTTGACCATTTCCTATTCTATTTTAGTAATTGAAATAGTTTTGCTGAGTTCCTCAATGATTTAGAAATATCTTGCAACTTTCATCATCGGGAACGTTGTTTCCTAGGTTTCCAATGAAGAAATTATGGCGGCCATCTCGTCGATACGGGCGCTTGATACATCACTAGTGGACTCAGTATCTGTCATCACTTCATCATCCGCAGACATCTTTCCGTTGAATTTCTGTGGTTGTTTTGCTGAATCTGGCGAAGGTCGGCGGAACAGTTCGAAGCGGGCACGAAGGTCCTCTTCACGGATTTCATGGCACTCATCGAAGTGTCCCCTTTTTTCTGTTCTTCAAGCTCGTTTCAATGAACGGGACCGAATTCGTGGTCTCTTGGCTCGCTTTTCCGCGGAGATAGAATCCCACGTTAGTGACGCTGTTCATCGAGCTGAATCTAGGGATCCATGTCTCGCATTACGTGACACCTTAGACAAGTTAAGTGTTGAAAAACTGCAAATAGAGTTGAGGAATCGTTATCTGGAGGTTAGTGAGTCAATTTTTATGGATTCGTTCAACCACCTGTGCTACTTTTCACTTTCTTTAAAGTCTCGTAGTAAGTGACACTGCCAGAACATACGGAATCATTAGGAAAATGAGTATTTATAACTGTGTCAAAAAAAATCGAAATATTTTTATGTCTAAGCGAGTGTGCTGTAACTTTAGTGATTTATGCTGTGGTTTTTTGGCATAACCATGTTAACAGATTAATCGTGGTTCCGCACTGATGTATTGCCGAACGGTCCATTGCTCATGAGTAAAGTCTCTCTGCGGTTCACTTACTATTAGTATTTGCTCTATCAGTATTCTTGGTTTTGTCACTAGGACAATTTTGCAAGTAGTAACTGGTCCCACTGAGCATACCCGTATCTGTTTGTGTCAATATAATGGATGCTTTTCAGTAGGATGTTCATCCCCAGTTGCTAAGGTATTTTTAAAGTGAAATACGTAATCAAATCATGAATTCCTTGAATTCTCAAATCTACTATGCTGCCTCCTGTATTTAAGGGAGGTATGGTTGGCCGAAAAGCTTATCAATTCTTATTTCTTCACGTTCAGAATGAGGTCATAAAACAGAAGGCACTAGTCTCATTTGAGCGTACTGAACGAATGCGTGAGATGGGCGGTTTGAAGGCTCAGGCAAATAAGCTTAAGGCTCAACTTGACGCCCTCCGGACCTCACGTACTCTCCTGCGATCAAAATGGGATTGCCATGGTTTCCCCTCAGTCGCCTCCTCCATCTCTTCTGATAGTAACATCGATGAAAATACCAGTTTAAAACGTCGTCCCAAAAAGGCCGTGGCTGCCCCTGCGTCGATGGTTAGTTATGGCAGAGATCCTTTAAAAGTGGAGCAATTGGGGTTCTGTCTTTTTTCTTAAATGACTAAAATAGGAAATATATTGCGCGTAGCAAACCTACTCATTTCAACTCAGCGCTAGCGTACTGTTTTTAATTCATGGGTTGATTCGGTTTCATAAAAGTATTTTCTTTTTATGCCGATGACGGATTTGTCAAAGGATAAGGGTTATGATCCGCAGTATTTTAAGCGAGCTAAAATAGGACGTTATTCTCGCGTGACAATTTCTTGTGTGTCACAGAGTCGGGTGGCAGCTCTTTCCCATCAATGGGAGACGCGCTTGGCAGCAGAACGGCAACGACAAGAGGTAGGTATGGGTTTGCGCAGCAAGACACCCATCCCGCGCTTCCATACCGAAGTTACTCTTGACGACGTACTCAATCGTCCCCCGGCGATGAACCCACGGCATCGGCGCTCCAGGTCTATCGGCGGCGACCATAGTGTTTGGCTGGAGCACAAGGAGAGCCGTCCAGCTCCCCTGGGGACGATTTTCTCCCCCACCGGTGTTAATGTTCGTAAATCTGTCACGCGAATCGAGTTGGATGACACCCTTCAGGCGACCAATTATGTGCTACACCATCAGACTGCCACACCCGAGGGCAACGTCGAAACTAAACTCTTCAAGGTACTTTTACTAGATACTGGTGAGAACTTGCCTGAGCTTATGTCAATAGCATCTGCTTACTTGACAGTCGTTAGGTATCTGTGCTTAGTGATCGTTGGAAGCTCACTGTTCGCGTCTGTCACTTAAGTATGCTTGCAAGATATCCCAAGTCGTGTACTATTTCTCATGCCTTTGACCTACTTGACCTCCTCTTGGCTCTTTATGTCTTTATTTCAATAGGGTGCGATCATCCCAACAGCCGGTGGTGGTTCTGCAATCGTCTTTAATGACGTGGAAGAATTGCGGCAGGTTTCACCTCTTAGTACTAATCTGTGGGTCTCTGACTACCTTTTGATTTAAACTTACCTGTCACTGTCTTAGTCCTTTTCATTTACTTTACATGGTTTTAGAAAACGTTTAACTCTCCTAGACTTACCAAATGGTGTGTTGACTTATTTTAATCCAAGTAGTGCGAAGGTGTTGCCCTTTGTGAAATCTTAGAAACAAACTAATTTTACATGAAGATCAAAAAAGGCAGTTGTAGCAAATGAGCGCTTTTACTTTAGGCTGCGTTTTTTTCTCCAATGTGAGTCCCAGTACCAAAGCTAATGGAAAGCCCATCTACTATTGACCAGTATAAATTTGTGGCGATGTTTTTCTACACAGAAATTCCAAAATTTTGCCTTTTTTGTCACTGAATCTTCCCACTGTTAATTAGAGCTCTGAAGAATTTTACGTATATGTTCTGGGCTTCTGTTCCATCGAAGTCAGTGGGATATTGGAATTAAGTAGTTTAAAACTGTCAGACTTCTTTTTACATGACCTAAACAGTTTGACTTTCTTCACTCGTCTTTGTGGCGTAATCACCTTTCTGTAGGCGTCAATCAACTCGTCTCTCCAGGGATCATGAGCTCTCTGTCACCGAAGCTGACACAAAAGATAATGATGATCGGCCACAGAAGCGGCAGCAAGAATGGCATCCTGTGGGAAACCGCCGATCGACCCGCGCGCATCGGCTTTCCCTAATTTCAACCACCTCGGGAGTCTCTTCAGCCAATGTAAAGACGGAGGAGGATGAAAAAAGTCAAATTAGCTATCGGACAGTCACTCCGCCCTCCAACTCGGAGTATCCCGGTTTAGCCAGCACGGAAGGCATCTCAGGCGTGTATAACCGCGCAATTTGATCTACAAAAACGTAAGGATCCCCCGTTTTGCCTGTTAATAACCTTGGGCGATTTCATGAGGTCGTCAATTTTCCCATTGTTTTATGTATATGGTAGGAAGGGCGTTAGATAACTCATCTATGGTCATATCGAGCTCATGATTTGGACTACATTCAGATCCTTCATGGCCAACATTATGCAGGGCTATGCTGATAGAGACCTAATTTTTGGCGGTACATAAAGTATTGAATGTTAATTTTACCGAATTTCATGATAATTATTAATGAATGATAAATAGAGGCAAATTGAAGGGAGTGGGTTTACTATCTCCTACCTTTACACGGTATGAAAAAAATAATCTCAAGCGGGTTTTTTTACCAATTCAAATGATAAACTGTCAGAAGTACTATCAATTTACGTTATCTCTACTAGCTTTTTAGGTAGTCTACTCAAAATCGTGCCTCCTTTTCACAGCTTATTCTGTACTACCCCTTGATTTATTAACTGTACCTATCATTGTCCCACCACGATATCATCTTTTTCCAACTTTTTGTCTTTTTCATACCACCATTGATACTGTATTTATGACGGCGAATCCGTAAATTTAGTATTATATGTATTTTTATGCATGCAATAAGGTCTTATCAAAGAACACTGAGGCGGGATTGGGTTCGTGTATGTACAGGATGGCAGTCTGCACGTGGATAACTGAGTAGGCAAAGTTTGTTACTGACAGACCATTAGTAGCTGTAGCGCGCTTGCTGAACTAGCCTCCTCCGTCGAGTGCCCTGATCTCGCGAAGTAGTCTGCTCGTGTAGTCGATGTTGTGTGCAATTGTTTCCGAACGAGCTCTGAGATTGGTCTAAATTTAACACAAAATTAGGTTTACTTGCTAACTTACTATTCGAGGATCTGCCCTCTAGATGATTCGTTTTGTGCTTTAGGATAAAGCTAATGTGAAGTATTCGACTCAGAGTTACGTCATCACTACGTCGCCTGATGCGTTAAGGTTTGATGATCAGGTATATGGGTAGTGGCGTAACTTCAAATCGCCTCTCGGTGACGTTTTTGCTCGTGGTGAAGGACTCACCCATTGACATACTCAACTTCCCAATAAAGTGTGTAGGAGTAACAGTATGTAAACTCGTTACTTTAAAGCGAATTCTTGGTCAGGAAAAACTGGCAGTTCAAAAGAACGCGTTTATAGTTTCGTGTATCACCAGCAGCATTTCGTTCTGGATCGTATACTGAAACTACTCACTAGCGACTGCCTGATGCTAAGCGGTCTTTAAGTTTGCGTGCACCTTGAGACGAAGCTTTAGAAGGTTTGGGGTGTCACGCCAATAAAATTCCACCATCTTAAGCAGCTTCAAATCAGTTCTCAGTCAAGTTAGTATTTTTTCCACGAAAACAAATGTCTTCTTTTCCGTCCCCGTGGAGTGCCGCCGGGTCGTACAATGTGGCCATAGCATGCTCCATGATGGTGTGCATGACTTGGATAATGTTGGTGTTGGAGGTTATTCGTCCCATGGATAACTCATCCCTCTCCACGGCCACCAAACACATTGAGCAATGGTATTTCCTCCTCAAACCGCGTAGCAAGACACCCGTTTGTTGTTTGTAAGGACTGCCACTAAGTGTTTTTTGCAACGTGGAGATGCTTTATCTGCTGGGTTTTGCTAGTGAAATTTCCTAAGCTCTTACAGCTGGTTGCATTGCGCTATCAAGTCCCTTAGCTTTAGGCTTCAGATTAGAAAAATGTTTATAGTAATGCGAGTTCGCGTCACTAAGTGCATGGTAGTCGCATATTATTAATTTATAAGCTACTCATGGCAATTAACAATGTAACGCCAACAGACCCACCAACTTCTCCGCAAGTGTGGCGATTAAAGCATCAATGCGCTCAGGATCAAAGGTCCTAGCGGTGGAGACAGTACAGATCTGATTGGATTTGGGTGCGTGGAAGGTTTTCTGGAGTGACGGGGTCGAGGGGCGCCGGATGGCAGACGGCACCTCCTGCGGAGGACTCGAGGGTCTCCCACCTGTTCCGTTATGTTCTACCTGCCCTGGTTGGAAGGGCCCTCTGCGCATCTGCGCAGCGTCAGGTGCCCTTGCAGATGAAGCCTTGGCAATCGCCTTGTTTCTGGGTGGAGTGTTTGTCACCAAACGCAGATTTTCTGTTGATGCTTTTAGTTTGACCTCTTTTTCAAAGCTGAATTTGAGGGCTCAATCATAGTAAACGCTTAAGTCCTGTTTTTCAAAACGTTTTGATTGCAAGGCAAAACTTAAAAACATTTCTTGCAGCTTGATCTACCTTTGGCCTTTATTGTCTTTCTATTTGAGTTCCCTCTATTTAAATCGAACATAACATTTTGCTATTAATTTTGGGTAATATTGCACGAATTTGTGTACATTCTTTTTTGCATATAGCAATTTCCAAAAGGAGGGAATGCTTTAGCTTTCCACTAAGTCAAGCTATGCCACTGTTTCAACCATTCGCTTTTACAAGCCTTCAGACTGAAATAGAACCACATTTTTGCAAAGCGTTCAGATTCATGAAAGTGTACAGAAATAGAAAGAAACTACTTTTTGGTTTTAATGAAATGAAGTAGTACCGATTGATTGTGGAAATGCTTATAACGAAAGCAGTTTTCTGCGTATTTCCTAAGTTCGGAATCAAGCGTTACGTATTTCGATGTCTGATCGGAAGAGAAACATTTGAGTTGCATAGGGATTGACGCACATTTGTCAGCAGTAATTTCCCAGTTAGTGGGAGAAGTAGTGGGCGGTGAATGTTGAGGGTAATTTTTTCGTTACCGGAAATAAAGGGGTAGCCCATGCAAAAAAGATTCTGTTACGGTTGAGGAACACGAAGTGGGGCATTAGAGAGCGGCATTTGATAAGTAGAACCAAAGCATGTCGGAAACAATGGATGTTAATAGTCTTATTAGAATACGGGGAAGTGGTGTTAGACTCGTAACACTTACTCTGGTTGGGAGTACACCCTTCTACTCATCTTTTTATATCGCTTATTCTCGCTGAATTGAAAAAAAAAACACGGACTAGAGCTTTCTGGATCACATTCACTAAAATTGGATCATCGTGGAGTTTTCGTGATTGCCCTTAAGTTCATACCACATTATACTAATTAATGTGGTGAAAATTTTGTCACCAAACTCTCCTTTGTCATTTTGTCACGGCGCTAGACAAAGTCAGCTGTCCCATGTGGATGCGTGTCGAGTCGACTTGGCTCCAGCTGATAGTATTTGCTAATTTTTATGCATAGTGAAGGAATGACAACTACTTTGACAGTAATGACCTGGGGAATAGAGTGTTGGCAATTTTGCCTAACCATTAAATCGTTTTAAAAAGTTAAATCTACTGTTAGAGCAACCGCATGGCGGTATTTCTCAAGGCTTTGTACCTCTGAGAATAGCGTGAGAAGCTAAAACATGCGAGAGAAGACGTCGCATGAATAATTTCACCGGAAAAGCTTGTGGGGCAAAGCTATAGCTGTAAACAAAAGTACATTCTGCTACTCTCGGGTCTCCTTAAAGTGTAGCTGTTAGTGACTTATTTCCTGAATATATTCCGTCTTCTTAAAATGCTTTGCACACCTCTATGTCGTAGGGAATGCGAGTTATAACGTACGAAGGCAATCCCACCTAATTCGCATGCGAGTGCACAAACATTTAGAGTTCACTGGTAACCATAAAGGCTATGCAATAGGGAGTGGGATTTAATTTCCATAAATTTTGCGGTTGAATTATGTTTAACCTTAAAAGGAATCGCGATGCCTGGATTGGGTTAATATTTTTAGACTTACGAGCAGGGTGGACGAAAATCAGTTTCAACTTCTAATTGAATAGATTTCCCGACTAACTACAATTTCAGGTCCTATTCGGTACACTTTAAATCGTGATGTAAAAATTGTTCAAACTTTAAGTCGTAAAGATTGAAAATTGCTATTCATGGTATCGCAGGATCATAACTAGAGGTCAAAAGTTATACGATTAATATGGAAACACGATAAACTGCTCTTCTTAACCGTTTGGACAGCAGAGGTACGCAATTGTGCACTTTGTAACTTTTTCTAGGAAATGAAATTTAAACAAATTGTGCTCCAGTAAACGCATAAAGTGTATAACTGGATTGTTACCACATCCTAAGACCCTTAATGAGGGAACTTACCATGGGGAGACAGCGAATCTGGGTAAGCGTCGGATGGGTGGCATTTCGATGACTGCCGGACCAACCGAGCCAATTGATTGAGTCGTTGGCATTTTCCGCTCCGGCAACTTTTCCAAAAACACCTCCACTTTCACGCGACCATCTTTACTAACAACCCACCAGACCTGAATAGTAAATAACGCGTTCTATTGGGCGTGCACAGACAACCAATCACGCTCGAGCATTACTGTGGTGATAAAAAGCGCCATTGAGTCAAGCCATAGACAGGGACTGGCACTTGAAGGTCAACAGGTTATTGGCCGATGGCAAGAGAAGTTAAAATGGGTATGATGTTTACACCACTGCCTGCTTCAATCTAGAAATGTGGTTTAGTAATGATCTCGACGACCGAAGCCCGATCAGTAAATGTTTTTTTTTATTTCAAACGCTACTTCTTTAGTCCACCTGCTGAGCTGGTATATCGGTGCAGAGCAAATTTTGCAGGCTTTGAATTTGTATCTTTATGAAAGAGTATTTTATCTATTCGGCTACGCGTGAGCCTCCGGCATACGTCCGAAATTTCCCTTTAGACGTCCTTATTTAATTTTTAATACAAATGCTCTTATCTCCTTAATCTGTTTGATTAGGATTGTTTCTTGTTAGTTGCTCATCAGATGTATTGCACAAAGGGCACTAAAAGAAAGAAACTGTTTCAATAAAAGTTTGAAGAGCCTCTTTCAATAACACCGATGAAGTCAACATTGTGTACAGTTTTGCAGCTCCTCATCTTCAAGGGACTAATGTGTTGCCAATTTTTTGTAATTTGCCAACTACTTTCCTAGAACATTTTTAAGTCAAACAGAATACTTTCGGGTCGAACCTTTCAATCAAGCAACACTGACCTTAAAGTAATTTCGTTATGTATGAGCAGAAAACTTCAAAAGAGAGCAAGCTAAGTACAGCTCATCATATAATTGAAATAGCTCGCTTATAAGACCACGAGTTGCATTGGATCATCAGCTTTTATCTCGCCTCTCGGGAGGCATCGTTCAAGTGTCAATTTTGTACGTGCGGTGGTGGTTCTCGGAAGACATTAACTTACTCCTGTTGAACTTAACGCTAGGTGAATGCTTTAAACGTTGGGGGGTCACGGGGTAACTTTTAGAGGCAGAACTGGTAATGATAATCTTGAAACCATATTTAGACTTAAAGGGGTTCTCGGCCGTGGACGCTTCTGAAGCTTCCACAAGGCATTTAATAAATGTCAAGACTTCCCGATAGATGATAACATTTAATCTACAGCCTTTGATAACTTTACAACGAGCACTGAAAACTAATTCGGTGTTTTTTTGACAAAAGTTTTTCTAAGCCAGCTTGTAATCCAGTCTGGTCTAGACTGGCATTTAGATAATGTACGAGGGACTGGTCTCTCTGCCGTCACCTGCTTATCAGTGCAACGCCTCTCCTTCACGCTTTTTAAGGGGGCTGCACAGTTGAGTGGACCATTCACACTCCCATCTGTCCCTTATCTCTCAATGCAAGAATTATGTCGTCCGACCCGCTGAGCTACCTCGCGTCACATCACCGCGAGATTTGTTTCTACTACCCAGTCGTGAGCTGGCGTAACATTACAAGTGTGCACCTATAGGGACGGCCATCCTAAAGATCTTTCATCCTCACAGGGAAGTAGCGTCACCGACATTTTGGTTAAACTTTTCATATTTTGTTGACCTGGTTGCACCGGCACGTGGAACAGTGAGCTATACTGTTTTGATAACTTGTTTATTCTTACCATGACGTGAATCCGTTCCAGAAAAAACAATGAAAGCACTTTAGTCCGCTTCGGACCAGGTTTGTTGAGCACATCAGCCACGTGTTTTATCCATTGTATAACGGTCATATCCAGATATTATCCCATAATCCACCTCACCGGCCGTAAGCATCAGTGAAATTGTGAAGCGAATTGGGCACAGCTAAATTGTCTGACACCTTATTGAGGAGAGTAAGAGACCCATGTTTATAACCCCTCAATTAAGAAGTGTACTTCGGAAGAACGAATAATGTCTGCTTTCAATATCAAGACTACACTGCGCATCTTGGCAAGTTTAATTATCAAAATGCGATCAGGAAACACCATAGAAAGTGGCAAACTTTAATGCAAGAGATGAGTCCACCTTTCCACATTTTGCCGTCATAATTGTTGACATCAACTCTTCGCACATATCGTGAACGCCACCAGTTAATTCCTCAAGTTCCGGTTAGTTCCAATCAACGATCTGAATTATGTGTTGTACTACATTACTGGAAACCTGAGTGGTCTGCATTGTTACGTTTCCTCACTGAGTTCCAACACCATATGAAGACACCTCAACTGGGAGAGAGCTAACATTTGGTGACAAGGGTAGCTGTCAAGTTTAGTCAAACCAATCTGAGACATCAATTTAATGGGTACATCTCTCCAGTAAGTGGGGTGTGGGCGGTTGATGGACTTAAAAATAAGTCCAAAAGTCAAAAGCAAAAAGCGCACACCACCTAGTGACCACGGAGTCAACCGCCCGTTACATGGGACGTAAGGACACAAGAGGCATTCTGTTTGCGTAAACTTTTATCAATGAAACGAATATTATAAGGGCCAAAATGTTGGCCTGAAAAAAACTCTTTCGTAATTTACTTTCCTCGTAGATTGTACGAACGAGTGAGATTTGGCCCAAAAATTACCTGTTGGCTACTCACACAAACAGAGCTACTGGAAAAGTCAGTTAAAAATTATGCATTATATTAATTAACGTTGTTGCGAATGCGCAGGTGAGGCGAGCGATGCAAACCCGAGCACTAAGAAGACAGTATTAATAGAAGGGATGAGACCACACCTCAGAAAGAAAAAAACCAAGGGAGGGGAAGTAGACGACAGCAGATGGTGTCGACAGCGCATTGGAATGAGAAAAACGTTTGTTGAGAGTGGAAACAAACGAAATGCGAGGTAGGGCCGAGACGGTAGAAAGGCGGCATTGAAACAGACGGTGGTAAAAATATGAGTACTAGTAACAAGCGGTAATAAATGACGAGACGATGTGCCAACTTGTATACAACCGGTGGGATAGTCAGTATATCGAGAAGGCGGGAGGTACCTTCATTACTATAAAGTAAGAAAAAAAAAACGAAACACGAGAGCAGACTGAGCAAGAAGTCCCATGGCAAACTGTTTACGTAGGGAAACGAAACATTTGCTACCCATGGCAAGCGCTAATTCATTTCTAAAAAATAAAAGCTTTGAACCGTCTACATTCAGTTTCGCTACTTCAGAGTTGAAAGTGCACGAAATTGTGACAATTTTATGGCGCGAAAAGTGGATAGCGGACGTGTTTCGAGTGCGTTCACCTGCTGCCTGGCTGAGGGCACCTGGTCGCACTTCACCAATTGCGCACATGTGCAAGGAGAGTTACCTTGGCGAGAGTTTGGCGTGACAACTGAGAGGGCATGCGGATACCCGTAGGAGCGGAGCGAACACTGACAGCTTGCAAGGAACCCGTCGAGGGGCTATCATGACCGTTGCGTGTGGCCAGGGTGCTACGTGTGGGAATCGAGGAGCGCGGATGGTAGCGTGTCACGTTGGCCTCTGTGGTCACCATCGGCGGGCGAATATTCGACGATTTTGCACTGACTGCTACTGTTGCTGCTGTTGGTGCCTTTCAACAAAGGAACAGTAAATTACACTCAAACCGATAGTTAAACCACGGCGCTAGTAGCCTACTGTGCCTCCAAAGCGGCTTCACATTTATTTTCTAAAGAGGAAGTGAAAAATACAATTGCCGTAGCTTTGCTAAAACGACAGTATCACCTTGCAACTGATCATGAATTTTTAAAAAGGCATCCAATCTTTAAAACCTGCTTTATAACACGCCTTTTAACTGAACGAAAGTGCTACTTGCTGGTAATAACTAATTTCTAATCGCAAATACAAATTAAATTAAAACTGTACAATCGCAAGCACACATTGCTTTTAACTAAAAAAGAGGAAGCCACCTTTTCATGAGAATGTTTGTAAATTTACGCTAGGAGGAACAGCATCAGCTCATAACAATTGAAATAAGGAATTAAAAAACAAGGCTGAGAGAAGAATGGGTGGCATACAACTGGAAGTGTCGGGGTCGTAATGGGACCACCGTTCGGAGAGTCGCCATCCGGTCCCATCTCGACGGGCGAGGAGAGGGAGGGGGCGTTGCGACCCTTGTACACACTGATGCCCGGTTTGTTTACCACCACCTTCGGACCAATAAGGCCTGAGGGGCGTCGTGTTTGCGCGAGTTGCATAGGTGGTGGCGTCGCTATCGGTGCCGGGGTTGAGATATCTGTCTTAGTTGTCCCATTTTGGCTGCCCGGAACAGCAGTAGTAGGAGTACTAACTGGAACCTCCGGCACTGGCAAACTCGTAGGAGATTCTGTGAAAGGATATAATTTTGTAATAAAGCTAACTCCCCGGATTCCAACAGCTTAGTTTATTAAACGTCTACAGCGTAGCAGAATAAACGGAGATAGTACGTGGATCTAAATTGTGATTATAAAAGGGCCAGGTTGATTCTGAGTAGTTTGACAAAAACAAAGGTAATAAAAGCAAAAGATCATTTTTACGACTTAGGGCGAATACAGAAACAACAGGACGACTAAATAGCAAGACAAGCCAGGGGAAATGATGTAAATAGACCACCTTACTAGCATCCCTCAGGTATCGTACGGCAGGTGACTTAAAAGATGACATCGTAAACAGGCCACAAGACGAAACGCGAGGCGCTCGTCGGTGGGATAAAACCAATCCATATTTTCCACTTTTCAACTCCAATTTACTTTAAATTTGCCCTAAAATAATGCTTTCGTCAAACAGTCATAGTAACTGACTGTGAAGACTATATGCAAAATTCGTAATGAATAGGCCAGGAGCATACTTCTTCAAATAGTATCGACACAACGAAAAAGAAAGTAACCATATACGAGTTTTCATAATATTTTATGTAAAAAGTGGCTTGAAATATTCGTTGGAGCTAAGTCAGTAGTAGTAGAACCCAAAAATTGGTATGGAAATGTAGCTCGTGTTCAGAGCGTCGGACTAGTTTGTGCATCCACAAATATTTAACAAGTGACGTTTTCATAGAAAAACTCGGACGTCATAATAAAAATCTTGAAGTTCCGAAATGGGATCAGAGCACAAATTTAAAAGAAAAAAACACTTGAAACTAACTTGTAGAACTGTACAATGAAAATAATGCTCGTTTCAAAGTGTCATGAATATACCAGAGGTCCTAACTAAAAGAGGAATTAGGTAAACGCAAAACGCTCGAAATACGGAAAGTTATACCTCTTTTGCACGAAGCGTTGGGTCGTGGAAGAAGATTTCTATTTGCATTGGATGATTCTAAAGGTTTTTTATTAGTGGAAACGAATATAGATAGGTACATAAGTTATTGGATGAACTTCGACTCATACCAACAACTGGGGGCTCCACAGTAGCTCTGCTGATCGCATATGCGGCATTGACACTTTCTGAAAGTCATGACTTATAGAGCGAGTAAAGTCAAACAACAGCAGAAATGTCAACAAGAAAACAAAACGACAATCAACACAGTGGTGAAAATGCCCATAAGCTTTAAATTAGAAAACAAATGCATCATCCAATGGAGTAGCACTGAAAACTTTCATTTTTCACCTGGACTAATATGCATTATAAGTATCGCCCATGCTGTTCTAACCTTTGAAGATGAAATGTCAAAACTGTCCTAGCAGCCTCAGTGGTGGCATGGCTGATGCATTAGAGTGTTAATCTACAGCAGTGCAATTTGAGTTTGACTTGAACAAGTAAGTTATTAATTGGCAGTCCAAAAAGTTTCGTGGAATTCTATTTGCATATCTTAAAATAACCATTTACATCACACTGTCGATTGGATGCTCAAGGCATTCCTGTGAAAAAAGGATCCTATATCGGGTAGGCTGGATAGTGTAAATCGTAGAAGTGGAAGATTTACTTAACGGAGTATACTAGGGTACGGCATTTGTTCAGGGAGAAAGAAAAACGCAAGACGAAACAACAAACCTGAAGTTGAGTCAGACAGCTCTAGCATGGGAGAATGTGTGAGGATGGAGCAACTACCTTCGTCACACACTAAGAGCACAAAAGTAGCTTAGAACGTACAGAAGGAATACAGTGTCCCCACAACCGTATGGAATAACAACCTATCCCCACTGACAGCTTCACCCTGATATGCATTCATAATGGCTAACTTTTTGTTAATAATGATATCTATCGAAGAATGCTTGGTTAGGTAAAAGAGTTTCCAAAGGAAAAAAGCAACAACAAACGCATGAAATAATCAATCACAGTCCCATCGTGCTGTTAACTACAGTAACGCAACAGACATTTACCTGTATCTACACTTCCTCGCCTCCTAGGTTTGGATGAGTCCTGTACAGGCAAACCTAACAAAGGTAGTATCGTTTTGATTAAACTGTAACAACTTAAACAAAACATAAATTGAAAGTCAAAAATGTACTTAATGGGTAATCCGTGGGTCCTACACCAACACTTTCTTCGGAATCTGAGTAGTAAATAAGAGGGTTAAATTTCTAATGAAGTATTGCGTTTGGGACAGTAGACAACGAGTTGAACCTGGAAGCATTTGCAAATTCAGTTCCGAAGCCGAAGGAAAAGATTCATGAGTTGAGGTACTTGGAAAAAGCGGTACGAATAAGGGATTTTGTTCTGGGTATGAAAATCCAAAAGATAACTATGAAAATCACTCAGTTGTAAACCGATGTCCAGCAAGAAACAAAAGAAAATCGAACCAATATAAGAAGCCACAATGGAACGAAATGTTCGTCTATGTGAGGAAGTCACCGTTCCTGGTTCTAGGATGAGGAAAAGTGACAACTCAGGTGACAAGCAATTTGCAAAAAAACATGAGCTTTGTGCAAACAACCGGAATCAGTAAACACTGAACCTTCAGACAGACGAAGTGATAGTTTCGACTCCCGAACAACATCGATCCCACTAACTAGTAAGCGAATCACCCATCTTGAAAATTACTCAAATTTATCGCAAAAAATTGGAAAAGAAACAACAGAAATGCATATTACCTGTGGCAGTTATGTATATACCATGTAGAACTGATGAAGTTATGCCGATGGATCCTTAGGTTCAATTGTATGATGGATTAAAATAGATGAAAAGATAAGCATACGATTTTAGCTATCACATACCCGATTTCGTTTGATCTAAATTCACGGCTTCTCCCAAAGCAGTGGTCAAATCTATTGCCGCTGCTTGTAAATCCAAGGTAGCTTCATTTGAATCTAAATGGAGTTTTCAAAAATCAGCTTCCTACCAAATAGAGTGACCTAAAAATACGTGATGTATGCTCGATACCGGACGACCCAGTAAATTAAAGATTCGCTGGCTTAATCCAAAGCACGTCGTTTAAATAGTCAAGTCGCCATTATAAAATGCAAAGTTCGATACAAAAGCACGGGGTATGATTGCTAGCTTTAACACACTAAAATTTACTATTTTTTGGAAACAAAAACTTTAAATAACTGCAAATGCTTCTACTAATGTCTTCGGCTTACGACCAGAGGCCTCAATCTCTGCAACCTCTCCAGATGGAGACGGTGGATGATGGGCGGTACCAACCATGGCTCGAGTTGGGTTCCGAGGCAGTGGGATGCCAGAGTGTGGAGATGCAGACGGCCTTCCTGGACTTGACGGAGTTACACTCATTTCACGTTTCTTCGGTGACGGCACTGGAGACGGCTGAGCCCTGCCAGTGCAATCGTCCACATTTTCCGCACTCTTTGGACTCATCAGTCTCCAGAAGGAACATTTTACCCAAGCACATAATATAAATGTCAAGTTAGGGGAAACGTTTACTACGAGAGTTTAAAACGAGGGATTAGTTCAATTAAACACCAAATTATGTATGCATTCCAATAAGAAATGCATGACTAGGTTAATGTATTAATAATACTTCTCATAAAGCCACGTCATTTTAGCGCTGATTTATATAAAAATACACTAACAAAGGCTAGAGAAACGATGTTTTTGATTTATCCGCTTTGTTTCCACTGAAATTAACAATTATATAATTTCCAAGAAGTAAAAGCCACGGAACATCAGTAATGATCCTATAAAATATTTTTGAGAATAAAGTGGACTGTAGAATTAACACTTGAATATTTAGTGTCCTAGTAATTTTTTAGCATTAAACTGGTAATATTGTGAAGTGGATGTGCAGGTAATTACCCGGGCGCAGTAGTTCCCTTCTTTTCTGTTGCAGTGGGGAGCAGGAGCTGGGGCACTTCGTTAGGTATGGATTCGTGAGATGGCTTTGGCGCATTTATTTCAAAGGAAGAAAGCGTGCTTTTCACTGCCTGTTCGACCTGAGATTGATGGGGCGTGCAGGTTGAAGTTATTTGGGGCTCGTTTAAAAATTGGCTGCAAACAGAAGGTTTACTTATTTTATATCAGTAAAAAAATATTTGCTTCAGAGGGAAACAGCACAGGGTTGGGGTCTCACCCTGTAGCATCCGATTTGGTGTAGGTAAGATAACGGGAAAGGTTGACAGATGTCGAATTTTCTGACAGGAAAGAGGTTGTGTTGAGCATGGGTTTGTGGGATTCGCTACATACCAACACATTCGGGGTTGAAGCGACGAGATTCGTATCCGCTGATGATTGGACAGAACAACTGCAAAACGATTTAGACAATGTCATAATACCCTACCAAAAGTTGGGCTTCAACCACACAGCCAATCGATTCACTACATAGGAGAGCGAGCTCGATGCTGTCAGAACAAACTCAAAGTATATTCACAAGTCAGCGATTAATCGGGCCCAAATTAACTCACCAGAAGGACAAATGCAATCAACGAAAAACATTATTACAAATAGAAGAGCATATAAACAGTCCTTGGATAGCATTTGAACATACTTGAAGAAAACTGGATTAGTGCATAAAACTAAAGTGATTTTTGCGAGAAATAGGTAAGAGGCGTGAATGTCATACAAATATACTAACTGTGAGTGGTTTCACGATCAAATGACCAGCTAAAAACCATTTCCATAGAACAGAAAGAAGCACATCTAGTGAATTCCTACGAATAGTTAGTTAGAAAAAAATCAAAAAGAAATAGGCAGTTAGATTTAATGAATATGGGAAAATAAGTACTCAAATTGATAGATTAGTTTACATAAAAGTGAATGACATTAGTGAGGTCTCTAACATAAATAAACACCTTTCTGTTCATTTACATGAAGAACGTGGGTTCACGAAAATGGCGTAATTCAAGCTTGCATCAATCTGAAATACTTCAGTGAAAAGAAAAGGAATCATGACTTAAGGAATATCGCTTAAAATAAGTGAATTAATGCAACCGCTCATTATTAAATCATCACACCAGGGAGGATGGGAATTGTGCGTGTTCATATCGATAGCTTCCGCAACTTACTCTGGATTCTGTGCCTAAGAAAACCACAGATACCGAAGTGTACGCGAAGGGAGATAATTATTCTCGAATTTCCTACAGGAGTTTATGTGAGGCTCTTCTCGAGTCAGTGTAGTGAAGAAAATGGTGATATTTGCATTGAATTATTTACGGTTTGATACAAGAAAGTACAACCGAAATGAAAGCAAAACTGAGCACTGGAGGATTATTTATTGCGTGTAAGTTAACTACTGAAAGCAAAGGAAAAGGTTCGAGTAAGATAATTTACATGTATAAAAATTTGATTTTAAGAATAGTTTTCTGCTTAAGTATAAAATATGCCTTGCCGAAAGAAGATTCTGCTCACAAAGGGAAGAGTCCATTGGAAACGCAATAATATGGTGATTGTTGTACCCACAGTAGCTAATATTGGCACTTATAGTCGTTAATACGAAGTCAAAACCGTGTAAACCAAATCCTAAAAGTTTTGACATCAGAATAAACCTTTCTTACCAAAAGGGTAGACAAATAATTAAAAAAGATACATTTAAGTAGCCAACGGAACACGGAAACCTCTGTGCTAGCAAGCATTCAGAGTGGAACATTTTTTGACCAGAGCAGCCAAATGGAACAGCCATGTTCAGTGTGCGGTTTTTTTCTTAGCCATGTGCCATCAATCCTTAGCAGTTGATTAAACTATTGCTATTGCAACAAAGCAAATCCACTTCAGTGTCACTGGTATATATTCGGCAGACACACAACCAATGCTACGTTTAACGACACTGATACTACGCTCAACGGGAATCCTGATCATGATGTTAAGGTAGACTGCGATAACAGAAATTGGCAGCAATTGAGCAAGTAAAAGTAGACGATTTTTTGAACTCTATTCTATTTCTGGCTTTTTTGTAAAATGAAATAATTCATAAGAAAACTGATAAGTCTATGATAACTGATTCATCAAGACCTTTGAGAAATACAATAATCCCTGTTTACTTAGAATTTGAAAGAGCAGAACAGTGTAAGGCAGATGAAGTGTGGCACATTAGCAGTCTTGGAATAAATTACCAGCATCGCGTACGACTACAATGAAATAGTTAGAAATCCATCTACATTACCATTTGTAATGATAATCTACCAAAAAAATAGTCAAAAATAATGCTGAATTAGTTAGATTCGATAATATAGAGACGGGTGACTGGTATACTCAAATGATCGTTTGGAAAACCAACACAGTCGACCGGTGTCTTCGGCAAATAAGGTAATTGGGAAGAAAAAGATATTTGAAATCTAAACAGGTATTAATTTAACTCACTGTTGAGATATTGAAATCTAACAGAAACTATAAAGTGCACCAAAGTATGAGAAACGAGGTAAGAGTACATATATTGAAAAGTCAGTCAAAAAGTAGGCCTTAGTCTGTGTGCTACTGTTCAGAATCATCCTCCATTTCCGCGTTCATCCTTAACAATCCAAAAAGGAATACGATTTGTTATTAAAAGGGAAATGTTTACAATGGAACACAATTAAGCCTCGCTGGCAAAAGTAACATTTAAATACTACGCAACCAACGAATACATCGGTAAGATATTTAATCAGCGAATCTGTTTAACAAAAGATTCATTTTATTAATAATTCCGGGAAGAAATTACGACTTAATTATCACAATAAATTGAGGGACAGATGAATATTAAGTTAAAACTTCAAAAAGTATGAGTTACAGGAAATAAACATCAAAACACAAAACTAAGGAAAGTGGAACAGGCGAAAGTTCACCTTGATATCCGCCTGTTTAAGCTCTTTTTCGATGACACCCCGATATTCAACAAAAATCCAATAAAAAGGCCACTTCCAAGCAAGGGTCAAAGATTATTAAAGAATAACGAAAGCATATAGGCCCAAGGAGACTACTGGCGAAAAAGCTATAGAGTAAATTAAATTAGTCAAAGAAACGCACTTGGGTTTTGCAATATCTCCCTCCCCAGTGATCGCCTGCTTGTTGATGGAACTAGAGCGTCTTCGCTGTGGCGGAGAGGGCGGTTCGACTACCTGAACGTTCTGTGAGGGAGCGACCTCAGCCACGGAGAGATGACATTGTGTATAATCCACGGACCGTCGGGATGGATAGGAATCCCGATTTTCATCCATCTCCTCTTTATCCTTTCCCCCCATACAATTGAGTCTGAAAGAGGACGGGACAAATAGATGGGTTTATCTCCGGGAGTGCAGTAAAACATACATGAAGGTCTGGCTAGAACAGAATGTTAGACACCTGGTAATCAGAGAGGAATAAAATGCCTTTACCTTGCACCCGAGATAGGCACATCTTACAACTCTGGGAGCAGTCAAGTAATTGTTTATATAGGGTAAATCACGACTGAAAAACATGTTGCTGCAAGGCGCAGAATATCTGGTTACGATTAAGCAGTGACACAAAACATGAGAGAAAAGCGAAAGACATAATCACAAGCACATGTGTGCGAACACACGACAGGATGGTCGTGATACAACCCACAAGGAAAAAGTAGAGATGACAACAGGAGGAGTTAAAACCAAGTGTCTACATCTTTAAAACCCAATACGGACTAACAATATTAATAAAGTCAAATTATTAATAAAGGTATTTTATAAATAAAAATCACCATCAAATGAAAATCGAACGCACATTCGTGGCCTACATTATGCAAGCAAGGTATATGATCTGTATAGATTGTACCATACGCATAACTAATCCTGCTTGAACAAACGTAAGCAGCTTGATAAAATGGGCTGGATTTATAATATACGGACAAAAGGTAGGCCGTAAAATAAAGGCCTTGCGATTTGTCATATACGTCACAAGTTTGGCGCAGAGTAATGATGATGATAAGGAGAGAAGCTTGGAGGACGTAATTAAAGACGGGCTTGCATAACCTTAGTTGTGCGCATTTACACAAGGTAAAATCAGTGATTCTCTGGCATACAAGCTCACAATACGCAGCACAGAGTTGAGTGCTAGCCAGGCGTAACACGTTACATGAACCAAACTTTTGAAAGTCAAAGTAACCACGTAGGCAGTGAAATCGGTGAGGTCTGTACGTGAATTAAGGAATGCCATTGGCTCAAGGTGGCAGAGACGGGGAGGCTGAGATTAGCGACAGGAAAACTAACTTGTCAGACGGAATGCGAGATCCGGTCAGTCCTACAAAAGACTGTAAACAACGCTTGTATAACTCAATGATGGATCACACGGTGAAGCAGAAAAGACTCCAGTAGAAAACAGTCGCAACTTCGACATCAATCCCTAGCAAAGTAGAGTCGATCCATAAAAAGCCCAGACTGGTTATTTTTCCCGATATTTCCGTATCTTTTGATTGCAAATTATCATCTTTGGCACAGAAATTATCCAACTTTGCCAAATGATTAACAATGAAATCAAGGGCAGAAATCCACTGACTCCCAGGTGGATGAAGCTCTTCAGGTTGTTTCTACCGATAGCTTCAAAATTAGGTGATATCGCACCCATGGTTCAATTACCGCAATTCTATTCCAGTTCCAAATGAAATCTACTTTTTAGAACAAACATATAAACCACAATAACACGCTGACAGGCTCCCATACATTCTTAAGTGAAGATCAAATGTGAGCGGCTTATTTTGCAAGTGAAATGAAAAATGATTGCAAGCGGTCCTACATAAATACTAGGCGGTTCGATTCATCGATGGCTAGTTGAAGGATTTAGATATTGCAGCAAATTCTCAGCTCTTAACCTAACAAGTCACAAGTAGCGTCTGTGCGGACATCGAGGAAATTTTTCTGATGCGTCAGTACTGTGAGGACACGTGTCATGCAGGGCCCGTCTCAACTGAAAAATGTCTTCTGAGGTCAGAACCGGTTAAAACTTACCAAAACGACATTCCGGATTAGATGTCGAAGCCATTACAACTATGTAATGATCATATGTAAGTAGTAACTGCTTCAAATGGAAGATACAAACTGAGCACCGATGAGCACCTACCCGCACAATGAAAACCCCTTCTTTTTTCGCGTTTTACTCGTTGGCATCCGGTTAGTTCCAATCAAGTGGCTCTCGCTGACAGAGTTGTTCTCCAGCTCGGGAGCGGGTTGGGTGCCGTTAGCAAAGGCCATGGCGCGGATACAGGTGATTTGGTAGACGAGTTTGCTGCTCGAGTTGATGTCCTTGACGCAGACGGTGATGGTGAAGTGATATTTGGCGTCGAACACAACAGGTGATGGAATGGAGTCCGTGCGACTTAGTTTGCGACGCTTGGCCTCATTCAGGTTTTCCGGGCGCGTCGACTGTAGAACGTCCGCCAAAACAGGTGTCAGTTGAGGCTGTAAGAGAATGCACAAGGCGTGAACCATGAAGGTACGCATGAATGGTCCAGTGGAGAGATAAGCAACATTATCTAAAGACAAACCACGTTTCCCTTGTGCGCAGAGATGTAACGGTCCCAGGCGCGCGGATGTGTGTGTGTGTGAGTGTGAAACTGGCGTATTCTCAAATGCATGGTGTTTCACATTTAACGTACGCACACAAGCACGTGCGCAGAACAGACACCGCCAACCAATGAGGAGAGAGTGATTGACTAGGCCATGACGCACAAGCCGTGATTGGGCTGATTGGTCGCGTGCATGTAAGCACGTGGTCAATAGGGCTGGGTGGGTATCGCTATGGTACAAGCGGGCGTATGCACGCATGTGTACACATGTGTAAATGCTGTGACGATGCTCTCCCTCCGCCCAGTAGCCAAGGCAATAGGTTCAATCCAACTTGGAAACCAGACATGAGAAAATAAGGCATATGGACTAACCCGTTCATCAGTGATTAACCAGGGCATACGAACTTCTGTTTTCCTGCACTTTGGTTCACCGACCTCTTGCCTAGTAAGCAAAAATGCGATTACTCAAATCGCAGTAGGAATTCAGATTAGTACACTCTTGGAGAGAAGATTATGAAAGATAGTGACAACTGCACAACAGATCAATCCTACGCTCTAACCAATAGCTGTTGCAAAAGGAGCATAGAACCACGTGGTAAGGAATTGATGGTTGAAGCAAGTAATTCATGTACCATGGCCATACGTGAATAGCGGTATCACTACCGCCCTCTCTGCAAAGTGCCAATTCAGTATCACAGATACGCAGACGGTAGAAGGTCCCGGATTTACCCTAAATGGGAAGGTAAATGTGAGTATCCACAAGTTTAGTTGCATTAGACCCCCCCAATCGTTAAAACAGTTGAAAAAATCAAATTCAGTGTGTTACTAAAGGCATCCTCTTATAACATATGGGTAAGTGAAAGGACACTAAAATCAGCACAAATTGAGCATTTTTGCTAAAAATCATGCAGGAAATTCCAAAATCCGAAAACACCTTAAGTAGTAAATCAGGGATCGGTAAGTGGCGCCAAATGAGGTCAAAGTGTGATCGGTGCACACTTTGTGTAGGCTAGCAGAGTCAACCGGGAGTAGGGTTTGCAATGTGAGTGGCTTTGAGGGAGTTTTGTGAGCGAAAAAAAAATAACCAGAGAAAACTACCATTTCAAATGGTAGAAGCACACAACACTGCACCATAAAGGCAGAGCGTAAGCATAATCAATTATCACTTTAGCAAAATCTGTGTAGACGAGCTGCACCCTCTTTCACTAACTTGCTAGAACAGGAGAAATAGGATAAGCTAAGGTCGTAAGCATAGATCTTAACTTTTGGTAGCCAGAAGCTGGGCTGCGGAACAGAGTAAACTTACAGAACTATGCAAAGATTTTCTGAAAAAAATCATGCTTTAGAAGTATATTGGTGATAATTTAAGGGAGGCCTACGTCCTGAAATAAGAGACCGGTGTGACGTTGAAAATGGGTATTTGATTAACGAATAACCACTTACGCCACCCTTTCAATAGGCAACAGAAAGAGACAGGAACAATAGAGAATACACGTTGAATGTAACATTTCAAATACGGAGAAAGTGTCGCAAATGATGTGAGATGCGAATTCGAGAATCCGGACCAAGTAAGCACCAGTTGCAAGCTGGCGTTTACCTTTGTAAAGATGGACACATGAGAAATTCCCACAAGTTTTCGGTACTCGCTTGACCCAAGGCATACCGCCACAACTCATGAAGCAGTCGGCGGTGCTTGAGTCCACAAATAATGGTTTGTGGACGGTCGTTGGAGTGAAAGCACTAGGAGGACCCATTAAATATTAATACAGCACGCATTATAATTTGTCGTACGGGGTGGAAATCGGAACGCATAAAACTTGTTTGTCAGAAACAAAATCAGAGATCGTAAAATTGTTGACAAGTTAAGACAATGCATTAAAAAAAGTGAAGACGACAAATAAGAATACATGGAGACTAAAGTAATTAACTAGATACGAATGCAAATGGATATGCATGAGATGAATTACAAGTGTATTTATCACATTTCATGAAACACTTTGCCTAGCCTAGAGAAAAAAGTTCATTGGACGTGTCTTGCACTAAGCAGCAAATTGCAAATTTTAGATCACGGCAGTAAGGGAACTTATTCTCCTTACTGCAGAAGTGATCGTCAACAGATAATACAGGTGACCTTGTTCGAGAGATCACCCAGATTGAAGTTGTGAAAAACCAAATGAGTAAATGGATGAGAGCTATGGCAATAGGCAAAGTTTGTACCAAAAAATAATGCACAAATGCCACACATTTGTGCAGAAAATAAGAAAATGACTGTACATTAACTCATCAGTTGCATTTTCGTAGGTGTGACAGGACTGAGGCGAAATAGGTAATATTCTCAGCGCACAAAAATAGCAAAAATGATAGGTTAACTTTGTTTTACCTGATTGCCTCTAAAAGACACCAGTTGCCAGGAAGGTAGCCTTCTCAAGCACAAGGTGTTTGACACTAGAGCTATTCTCAGGTAATTTAAAATGAATGCAAATGTGGCTGGAAAAGAAGGCAGGGCACGTGCACTCGATCCTTACTTTAACTATGCAATGTAAATAAGGTGTTAGAGAGGAAAAGTGTGTGGGAAAATGCGATATTAAAGATAGAGATTTGATTAGATGACTAATAACTCAAGCCATTCTTCATCGCAGCTCTCAAATGACATTGAAGATTTGAGTAATTAAACCAAAAAAGTGGACCTATTATTGACGCTAGTGATCCTTGTTTACAAATTAAAACATTAAAACGCTTATGCTATGAAAGCCACGAAGGTATAACTACTTTAGCACACGAAAATCAAGGCTTGAAAACAGTCCGAAAACTAGAGGTGTACGTAAACAGCCACGCAAAAAAAACACTCGAGAAGATGCAAAATAACACGATTTTCAGAGACCAGGCGGAACGCCATAGCGCGAATGATCGTGCATAGAAAACATGTCAATTTATGCAAACAACTTCACAATATCACACAAACGAAGCGCTAAGTATATGTTGACTGCGTTAAAGTGGTATCAGATAATTACGAATGGACAAGCAGTAGACATCTGTGATAAAGTCTGGTAATGCTGCATACAATGAATCGGAGTCAAATAGAAATAATTTAGAACTCGGATATAGCAGCCAACTTAAATATCACTTTGGGGAAACGAAAGATATTCACACCTGCCATGCAATAATTACGCTATGAAACAGTGCTACTTTATAAAAATAAGTAGGGCCATGTAGGACTACTGCGGTAATAAAGCACTCAGTATTTTCCTATTAGGATAATCGATTTCAAAAGCGACTGAAGGAAAGAAGCATCACGAAATCCTAAACTTGTCGAAAATAAGGCACATATAGGGCAAAGTATGCTGCCAGACCAGAAGGTACTCCATTCTCGATATTAATACGAAGCGATTGGCATGAATCGAGACTGGGAAAGCACTCTGTTTGAGAGCATTTGAGGATCATGGCGATTTTTTAGCAGGATTTTCAGAACAAAATTCTTACCCGAATAGTTAACTCCTTAACTGAATTCCGAAAATTGGTTAATTAACCATTGGTGTAGGGGAGAATTTAACGAACAAAAGATCGGAAAATCATGCAACTCAGATGAGAGAATGAGAAATTCCACCCCATCGTAGGCCGAGGCTCCATTTTAGAGAGGACAATTAGGCGCCGATAGCTGCTGATAGAGATATCACCCTAAAACCCGACCCGTCAGTTAAATATGAAAGAGTGACCGCAATTTCTACATTCACGTCACCCAACCACCACTTGTCATCGAATAAAGGCCTATCATAAACTTGTCTAGTTGTGGACAGATGATAGTAGGTGGTATAGATGGGTTAAGTAATATGACCCAAAGTGTACTCTAGCAAACATACTTATGAACAAGTTCCCACATCTTTGAAAAGATTATGAACTTTCCACTTCAAAATAGCAGTTATTGGGCTTAAAAGTATAATCGTAATCAGGCGATAGCAAAAAGTTGTTACCCTCATTGGACGAAGTGTTACAATAGTTTAAGTAAGTAAATCAAATGAAAAAAACGCCTGCTGTTCAAAAAAAAGTCAAACAACAAATGCTCATAGTTATTAAGAAGAAAGATCCGTAAACCACAATGAGGAAGGCAAAATTAACTGGAGATAAAATGACATTATATATACCCTCGATAAATAAAGAGGAATGGATGACCAAAATAATGAAGTACAACGAAAACATTGCCGCTAACTCTAAAGGGAAACTGTATTTAATTGTGCAAATATCTAAAATTATTTATTATTCCAAAGTGTAATGACAAGTACTACCAAAAATACACTAGTGGATTAAATAACGGCCGGGAAAACAATAAAATCACTGAAACGACTGTTTTTGTAATGCGTACGGAAGCCTGATTGGAACTGATTGAAGAAATTAGGGAATACCAAGATGGAAACGCATTTGGGCCGTACTCAAGTGGGTAAACTGTCCAGCGACCCCAACGATTACCCACCTGTATGACCTAGCAATGAGTCTTCATTAGTCCTGCCCATTAGACCCGCTTGGTAGCAATGGTGTTTGTAGTTATTTTGTTAAAGCAAAGATAGGAGGCCTTGTTCTCACATAAACAATTTTTTCGGCAACCTGTCGACTTATAGTAATGTCTGGCAGTAATGATTCAGGAATACACGATTTGAAAAAAGGCATAGAAATTTATTCATCTCTCAAATGAGACCATACGATCTGGTCAGAACTAACCTTGAACGATTCTCTCAAAAGGCATACACAAATGTGAATTCCATAAAAAATATTTAATTGAGCACGAACACCATCTTATTCTTGGTATATGCAAACCTTGCAGTGCTAAAAGCAGTTCTGATTAACCAGAACCGTGGAATTCGCATGCGACTACCAGCATTCACCGTTTGCATTCTGCTTGGTAAACTAGAACTGAGATCCCCCAAGAAATTGTTCATTCCTGATAAATAACTTTCGGGTGGCACGATGGGCAAGTGCCTGTTTGTTTTGATTCCCGTAAGTGACGTGCATGTGCCCCCGAAAGCGTGGCGCAAGACCAAATTGAGAATAAACAAAGTGCACAGAAGTTTGGAACACAGATGAAATTTGCACAGCATGCTAGACGGTCTCATTTTAGGCAGAAAGTTGATAAACAAGACGAACGAATCCCATAATTTACACAATTTAAGTCGGTAACCTAACCAGCATTACTTTTTCTCACGCGTAAACCGATAAAATTTATGGCAAGGAATTACAATATGGTCTGGGTAACCAGTAAAATCTATAAAACTACCAGCGATTTGGCTGAAGTCCTTTTGGGAAAATAAATACAAAATGTGTCCAAATGAGTCAGAATGAAAAAGCCCTAAACGCTCCAACCAAGCAAAAGCTACCGAATGAGTCACGCCGAGTGACAAACTCAGTTAGAAAACGGGACAGTCATGACTAACACACCGCTTTAAAGACACCAAGATCAGAGGTATGAGCTGGTGTAAAGTAATAAGAAGGAGCACTCGCTTTGAAGCCCTTTTGTTAAGAGTCGCGCGACGGTGAAACCGGTGAGTAACACGAACTTATGCATCATATTTCGCATCTGAGAGACAAAGAGGGGTAATCAAATTCCCCCATGTAAATAATGGTCTCCATTTTCGGTAATATAGATGGGATAAAATACCAAGTACCGCGTATCTAGCGTTTAGACGACAATCAAATTACCAGCGACTGAAACTAACATGAAAATTCCACGAAAACGGTCTCAGTTGTCATCAAAACGTACGCAATGAGGAAGATAAAGATTGTAGCTTACAACGGAATAACAGCACAAAATGTGGTAAATTTGGTCGGTTAAAGGTGGATGAGAGGAATAAAATAAACATACTTGAACTTGGACCCAAAGATGGCGTATTTGAGGCTCAGCAATAAGAGCTTCAAGAAACTCAGTGACAGATATATTCGAAGCCAAAATCGTATCACTATGAAATAAACACAAGAGTCTGATTAACTTTAAATAATTCTGAAAAGAATAAGGCGAAAGCTGATGGCAACGAAGTCTACTCCTACCATACTGGGGACATTGATTACATACTTCTTAAATGAATGAACAGTAACATGAAATTCAAAAAACACTGAAAAACAACTCAGGGTGATAATTGACGCCTCGGTAGAAAAGCCTTTGAATAACTGTAGTCACTATGATTATGCGAAGTCGAATAGACTGAACGAAATCATGGAATTAGTTAAAGGCAGAGAGTAATTCAACACCTTGCATTTTAAAACAAATTTAAGGGTGTAAAAAAGCAGAATGCAAAGAGTGCCAAAGAATGGAAACTAGGACACAGTAAAGTTAAAGTCTGAAGGAAACTACAAAACTTGAATAAAAGTTGTACTTACACTTCTCTTTGAGTTTCAAAATTTAAAGCCAACGAGTGTTCGTCTACAGAATTTCGCGTTTTAAATAGAATATAAACTTACTGGCAAGCATAAAATCATTCATTAACTTTATTTCCTTCGCATAACGTTTATTTGCATACGTTAGTTGGTTCTTTGAGTATAAATTGACCGCGGAAAAAAGCAAAAGCCGCCTAAGAATGAAATGAAGTAAGAATCACACCTAGTCCGCGGCGATTTAAATCCAAACGTCGATGAAGGCAATGCAGGCACTACTAACTCAAGTGTCTTCTTGTTTTTTCCCTTAAAAAGATCAATCAATGTCAAAGACAAGCTTACTGGTTCTAGCATAAAGCAGAAACGATCTTCACTTATGCTCGCAGTTAAAAGCGCCGCATTCAAGCAATGTTCATAGCACTCAGGATCCTATGCAGGTGATTGTAAGGGGAAAAATGCATACTTTATACAGGGGATATTTGACAGGTTCTTGAAATGGTACGTCGCAAGACATGCGATCAGGCAGCACAAGTTTAAAAGATCCCTGTACTGAAATTGAGCCAGGAGAAAACATCTTAAAATAATTTACCGGCGCAAACTTGTTGTTCCAGGACGAAACCAGGGCAAGCGCGCGGATACGAATGGTCACTCCTGTATTTTGCAGCTAGCGCTTTACCTTTAAGGTCATTATATCTAGCATTTCTCAACAATTTACGCTAAAAATACTAAAAAAATCATTATGTAAAGTATATAAATTACTATTAAATGGTATATTTAAACGATTTATAAGTGCGCAGATTATGAATCTTGTGAAAACACATAATTGCCGTCAATGCTCGGATCGCAACTTACGGCGCAGAACAACAGCTGATCCATAAAAAGCCCCACCAAATGACATATCGACTAATTTTTCTTTAGCATGAAGGTCACAGTTGCGTTTGGCGAAATGAAGATTGTTGTTCCCTGTGGATCCGGTGATTTTTCGGTTAAAGAATTGGCTGCAAAGGCTGTTTATAGGATGAAGCATTCTATGAAGTCTGTAGGTTTTTGGAAACTCTTAGTGCGTTTGTGACTTCGATCTTTGTGTATGAAGAATTCGCTTTAAGCGAAACTAGGTCTTTTCTACACTGGGATTAGCAGGCTATCATGTTTGGACCTAAGTTTGTAATTCGCTTTCTTAATATCATGATAGATTTCGTAAAGTTTGAGGGATTCTTATACTCTGAAAAATTATAGAGCTCTTTGCTGAATCCGTATTTGGTGAGCAATATTCAGCTCCTAGCCTTTTTGAGACATTCACCTCCATTATTGTTCTTTTTCGTTTTGCAGTTAGGGATGTAATCAAAATTTTTGCTACTTACTTAATTTTACCTAATGAACACCTATCCCTTATACTGAAGGCACACTAACCAACATGTTTGAATTTCGGCATACTTTTTTATTTGTTGGAAACACGGAAATCCACCATATTGATGATCGCTCATTTATTTTAAATTAGTACGTCTGTCACTTTCACATATTGAGTGATTGTAAAACGATACCCAACTTTGACGAATGTATTTGTTGTTGCATTTACTTTGCTTGAATTTAAAGGCTATGCTAAATAGTACTCCATAATAAACTGTTTCGATTGTTGCATTTTAGTCATCAGATTTGGATAGGATATTAGTTCAAAGCTTGTCGGTATCTCGTGATGGTGGTATTTTGGACTGGGATGACCTGGTTTCCGATGTTTTGGACGACCGTGAACAGGTACTACTTTGCATCTTAAGTGGGAAAGTGACCGTTTTCATAATTATCTAGATGCTTTTCATGTCTATTTATGCAACTGAAGGGGCTACTGGATAGTTATAAAGCCCTTTCATAAAGACCCTTTTGCTACAATGAAGCGAAGTTTTATGCTATGAACAAAAGATGTCTACTCCTTAATGTCTGCAATAATAAGTTAAGCGCATGTTGCATACTGACTAATTTGGTTCCTTAACCAAGATTGCTTAGTTACACGTGCTAGAGAGCATGCGTATGCGCGTGTCCAGGTGATTTCGCAGTATGCAATCAATGTTGGCAAGCCATTGGTCTTCTCATTCCTCAATCTGCTCACACGTGTGCACCAGCGAGTTTATTTACGTTTCAAAGATTTTCCAGTCTTATCCCCACCGGTTTACCGGAGAAACAGAACTAGAGGAGGCATTTCAGATTTACTAATCTTTGCTTTTGGCGACACCTAGACAAAGTTCTAAGTCCTTGTAATCAAATCACGTGATCAGCCTTCTCCTTTTCTCATAAACGGAACTGGCAATTTGTAGAAACAAATTGCATTCCTCGGTGGAATAAACTTGCTTTTCGTGTAGAACAGACTATTGTTCATAAATAGTGGAATGTATGCTTTTGAAAAATACCTATTTTATTAACACCGACGGTACAGCATGAGAACACTAATCCTGCAAGCTATTGTATCACGCTTAAAGCGTTATTGTTAATAGAAATTTTTTATTTACTAAAACCACTCGAAAATCATTTTAAGTCTACCAGAAGTTTTTAACTTTTCCATTGTAGTTGCTGAGCCACCTCTAGGCCTAAATTAAATAGTTACTGAAAAGCTTCACATCAAACTTAAGTTAAATTGTTTTCATTAGGCAGATTTTATTTAATGCCATTCAAATGGGATTTTGATAATCAGGTGTAAAAATTTCAGGTATGTAAAAGTATTGGGAGGTGAAATCCAGGTGAATTAAAATTACTGGGAGATATCTGTACGCAATGTTATATGACGAAGGGAAGCTGGATTCGTTTTGACAGTCCTTAAAGTGAAAACTTTTGACGCTTTGTTTCAGTAAACCATCAATCACTTCAGCATAAGCAAAAAAATATTCACGAAAATATGTAGCTACTACGGATTGTTTAGGGAAGGTTCGGACATTAACTTTATTTCTGTAAGCTGGCCTTATGAGGTGGCACTCACTACTGCGTGTTATTGACTGGGCATATCACTTTTAAAGGCCAAAGATGCAAGGAAGTAAATACACATACACAGAGACCAGATTGAGGAATTTCTCTGATTAGATTTGGTTACTTTAAAACGCCAGTTTTCAGATCTACAGCTTTACTTGCATGTTGGAAAGCTTAATGTGTATCATTGAGCTTAACAGTAAGGGGTACTATTTGAAATATAATTCGGAAGTTATCATAAAAATGACGAAGCTGCATGCAACTGAAGGTTTTTTAGACAAAGTGATTGGTGGATTTCACTTCAGAAACGAACTTTAATCAGCCAGTGCTAGATAATACCCAACCTAGTAATCTGGAATTGCACATCGGACGCAGTAACCGAAATATATACATTTGCAAATCATAAGATGGTATTGCTTCAGTATTTTACAATTCTATAGCTTGTGGCACAGTACTCCATTGAGTCGAGCCTCCACGGACCTGCTTTTTCATCGCCTTCGTTCACACCCGCTCCTACCTTGGCACCTCTTGTATTTGAAATCTCCCGGATCCATCATCCCCCTGGGGATCAGGATCCCGGCAGCAGCAACAGCAAGGTGCTGCTCAGCCACGCACGTATTGGATACAGTAACGTCGCAGATAGTTCGAGCAGCAGTCTCAGTCTCAGCTCAGGGAGCTTGGGTGGTGGAGGCGCTGGGAGTGGCGGTGGTGTGGGAAGTAATACCCTTCATCATCAGCATCACCACCACCAATTATCTCGGAACCCACATGAACAATACATTGCTTCATGCCGACACCCGCGAGCATCTGAGTACCCCAATCACCAAAATTATCACCATTCAATTGCTTATCAGCACCCCGTAAATGAAATTGAGATCTCTTCTGCAGGTGAGAATAAGTCTGTAAATTGCTCCACCTCCTAGACTAAATGTAGATATTAGTTGCTACGATATTCATCAATTTAATGCACAGAATTTGACAGTGATACTTCACCTAAATCAAAATGTAGCTGCGGCTCATGAATTGCTTTAATTAATACAATTGTCGGATTTAACGGTTTTCCAACCAGTTAGAACAATTTACTGCAATTTCGATGGAGATGGTGATTTGATAATTGTTATATCATCTTATCATATCCATATAAAGCAGACTTAATTTTAGTCTTCACAGCAGGATTTGTGGAAGGTAAGTGAAGAGGAGATTTCGTGCCATTCTTTGTCACCGAGCGTTAAAAAGCCCCGTGAGAAAAATTCGTGTGCCAGAAGCAAGTCTTTTCTTACAGTCGTACCTGACATGGGGAATTCTAAGCAGCTGCGGGTAAATTCTACATGCGCTTTCAGTCGGAAAATCTGGTAGGGATGGCCTCAAAACGGGGCTCTACCTCCAGCTCTCCTCTGGGAGGATGGTATCCAAAAGCCGCCTGCAATTGTGTTGATTCATTACACTGAAAATCCAATTAACTTTTATGTCTTTTTCTTCTTACCAAGAATACTTTGAGGCAACAAGGATATCACCAGTATACTTCTTGAGGTTCCTAATTTGAAATATTTTTTTCGACTGTTACTGTTTTAGACTTACCTAAAGTAAAATTCCTATGAATTTGGCCCATTAGCTAACATCGGGTTGGGTAAAAACAGCCTGTGACAGCTGTGTTTAGAGCAGTGTATTGTATCACTCACCTAATTTTATATTCATTAAATTAATTCTAAAGAATTATGGTTTAGCTTCTGCGTCCAATGTGTCATTTGAGTCAAGAGGTGGCCCACAGGCCACACCGAACCTCGCATCAGAGGTCATCTTGTCTTCCCATGATTCTTGCACAGCAGATTACTCCTCTCTTCTGTTCAGATGAATGATGAGGCGGATGCTGAAAGTACGCATGTAAATTGACTCCACCACTTACCATCTGGCTTCCTGCTGGCTGGGCGCTTGTTGCCCAAGCGTTAGGGCAATTCGTTAGGCTGTTTAAACTTCGGGTTTTGTGCAGCCATTATTCAATACTTTGGCGATGTGATTGTACCAAACCTCATAAATCTGTTGTGAATTACCCAGCCCACTTTTATACGATGAGCTGCGTAGATTTTTTCTTCAAAGACATCCTCTCAAGTAGTGCTAATGCATTAATGAATCTGTGATAGCTTAAAGCCCAGAATATGTCAATAACACTAGATTCTACTATTATGGTGATATTCATGATGAATTTTGATGTCTTCGCTCCATAAAAATAAGTGAATGGATCTACGAACGGACACCGAATCATCTTGTCCATGCCTGCAACACTAGTACGTCAGCCTTGGCCCACTAAAATGACTCAGTAGATAATAGGGAAGCCATACCGTCACAACTCCAAACAGAAAGCACAAATTCGAAGTGGTCCCACTTTCCATTTGTTTGATATTTTTGGGGCTTTAACCTTTATGTCACATTGGGTTGTATTACAGCTATATTACGTCATGTAATCTTTGCTGGGGAACTTTGTAAAGAACGCCAATAAATTGCATAATGGGTGCGAAATTGCCCGTTTTTCATGACCTTTGATTAAATAACAATTTCTGCGTTGGACAGATTTTGTAATTGAAAGCACGTTAAGATCCTAGAATTCCAATGTCGTTCCTACAATCCTGATAAATGATTGTTATCTTCGTACGGGTTTCCGTTTTCTCTCAGTGGTTGCGGTCTAATATCTAAAAAAAATAACTGAATAAAGGAAATCCGATGTTTCAAATATCGCTGCGCTTGTATTTCACCAAAAATATGCGGCATTGGATGATTTGATTGTTAATAAATATAAAAGTAGTGGTCTTAAGAGCTATGGACATCATCACCACCCTCATTGGCTTCCTCGATGGGCTGGTTAACTGTCTTTTTTCGTCTTGTAGATTATTATGCTTTCTTTAAAAGTTTAAATTTTATTGAGCACTTCCAAACCTAAGCTATTACCTTTCAGTCAGCATGTCTTTCATAACCTTGATGGTTAAGTTAAATGAAAGGAATCATACTGACTTACTGTTCAATTGTGTCTTCAATTATCCTTCGTTTATCGGTCTTGTAAGTTCAAGTTAGTATCCACCGTCTAATCAAACCTTGTATGATTTTCACCTTTTGCAGGGGTTTCATATCTAACTGAAATAAAGTAACGGTGAGGTTTGTTGTTGTTACCGTGGGTTATTTGAATACAAATTTTGTTTTGTAATGTCGTCATTTCAGTTTACCTTTCCCTTGAAGTAGAAAAACCTTTCGAAGTTTTGCTTTCAAGATGGTCTGGATTTGGCAGTCTTGCACAGAATGCAAGCTTGCTTCTCTTCAAAAGTGGTCATATTTTTTAACAGGCCATCGTAGAATTTTTTTTTCGCCATTCTGTATCGATATATTTTTCAGGAATCTTTAAAACCATGTTTAGCATGTTTGAGGTGATAATGCACCGAATCGAGAGCTGAGGATTCGCTTTTGCTAATATCTCTCCAGCCATCTGTACGTAATTCATCATCGTGAAATAAATAACACTCTACCAGAAAGTTAGGAAAAGACGATTTCTCGTGTTCACGATGTGATGTATTTTTTCGTCCATGTATTGAAGGCATTTTTGAAGACCAAAATAAGGCGGACTCGGGCTACAAGTCGGACCACATACGACTGTTTTGTGATCTTCCTTCACGAGCATTTGGACGACGGACGCTTGTGACTCCACCCTTGCCCCCGCCCATCGTCTTTGACTACGATAAAAATGCTGTTTCAACCACTTTACTACAACATTCAGTGAATAAGGTCACTCCACAATCTCCCACCACCTTCGAGACACCCTCCTCCAACCCTCATTCGGAGCTGTCTTTCCCTGCATCAGATAATTCTGTCATGGATAAGGTAACGTTCTAATTAAGGCATCAGCGTACACTTCGTTATTAGAATGCACATCTTTTTGACTGTAGTTTTTTTTTGTATAAGAAAGGCTTCAAGTTGTTTCAAAAGTATTACCAAAAACAAGTGTTGATATATTTCGCTGATTGGAATGGTACCGTGTCACTGCGTTATCGAAATTGATAGCCTTGGTTTATCTATTAAGCTTGCGTAATTAAATTATCTAGTTTCTAAAGTATACGCATATACGTTCTCTTATATATTACCTACATTGCTTTCAAAGAAACATGAAAACTGACTTTGAAGCTTTGTTGTTCAGTTTCATCCATTAGTGGAGATTTTAAGCAAATGAACTGCCTTTAAGACCCAATTAGCAGACGTTCTAGAAATACAAAAAGTTTTATCAGATTATTGTCCAATTTAAGGTGCAGAAGTTTAATTGTTTAAACATTTTGAACATCACAACTGGTATATTTCATTTGCTTTGGTATTCTGCCCAAGCGAAGTTAATGGAAGCGGATACTGTTTATTTTAAGTACGATGTTCACTTTTTCACTTCTAGCAAAATATTAATTACTGAGATTGTTATATTTTACCCCATTTCCAAATTGTTAACCAAACATACGATTTCGTTTTTAATGGAGCACAATTTTTGGGAATACAGATCAACACTTTCACATTGATTCAGCTTTCTGAGGTTCTTTCAAGTCGACGAGCACACTTGAGAAGCAATTGGGATTATGCGAAAAGTAATTACACAGAAGACGATGAAGAACCAGATGCCGATGACGACGAAGACGACGTAGACGAAGACGACTTTATGGAGGTCTCGGACGCCATCAGCGGGAAGGGGACGGCGTTTTTAACAAGCTCGATCGCAATGCCCACGACGCCGATCGCTGAGACGTCTATGACTACCAGCAGCTCTGGCAAGCGCTCAACAACCACCACCGGCACCGACGGTGAGGGCGGGAACTTCAGTGATGAAGGTCTTTCCACCGTGAGGCGGGTCGTTCAACCCAAGGAAACCGAGTTCCCCCCCTGTCCTGGCACCTCAAATTCGTCTTTCCCTGTTGCTCAGGTAGGCGTTGGAAAATTTCCAAGAATATACGGGTGCTACTTCTAAATAGTTTTTTTTTAGAAAAAAAAACTCGCCTTTCATATTTAGCACCTTCTTGGCGAGTAACCTAGACAGGAATTTCGTATTCAAATGTCTTAAGAAAAGAAAACTGTTTTGATTTACCAGTCCACAATATTGTTTACATTTTTCAGATTTCGCGATAAGCCGCTCTGATATTTTCTCGGTAGTAGAGTTGGAATTCATCCCGTTTTATCCTAGACTTCAAAGGCTCTGGAACCACTCATCTCATTTGCTGATGTCACCCAAAAGAATTCTCAATTTCCAGGTATTCTGCCTTCTAAAAAGTAACTCTGCCTTGTTCCAGGGTAGTCACCTTCAGATGTTATACCTGTTTAAAAACGTGTATATCCAGTCATTTTTATCTTGTAAGAATGGGAAACGCGCGCGTAGGTACCGGTTAATTTAATGGTCCTATTGCACTTACTCAAAGGAAAATGGTTGATTTAGAAAAACCCAGACATTACCTTGGACTCCTTCAATCATATTGCTAGCTTGAGCAAAATAGTGTTTCATACGATTTGTATACTCACGCGCACCGATTTCTAATGTTTCGTAACCCGACAGACTGGGCGTCTTTTCAACATCGTCAATCTGCTTTTGCCGATCGTCAGCGTGTTTGCACTCCCCCAATAAGCAGTGTTCGGAGAACCATTCCGGAGGAGAGAGAAGACGGTAAACTGGAGGCAAACCAGGGCAATCTTGCGTGCAGTCAACCACTAGTTAAGGCGAAGGCCAAGTCTTTCGTTCCTGGCGTCTTTGGCCCATCGCAGAAGACAATCCAAGCGCTAGGAGACGAGGAGACAGAGGAAGAAGCTGAAGCTGAGGAGGACTATCCCATGCTTAGACTGGACTATCGCCTTAAGTATGCTGCTTCGTTTATTTTTCTTTGGCAAGTATTTGCTACTGCTATTCATTGGATAAAAGGCACTTTGTAGCTTTTGCAAACTTTGCATAAATTCAGTAGCATCCTGACCCTAATGATTAAATTAATCCTTTTTAAGCAGAAAAAAATTGAATGCATGTAGGCTAAAATTATGTCGCAGCGAATTTAAGCAAATCCCGATTTCACCGATTGATAATATCAAAAGATGCCGCTTGTAGATGACAATTCCTCACGCGATATTGGTATTCGGTTTGGCATTCCTTTTTGGTATCTGTAATCTCAGTGATGGTTTGAGTGACCAACAGTAAAGCTTGTAGTGGTGATAGCAATATTTCAAAGAATGATGTTACTGTTGTTTGTTCCAGACTTTCCTCTGTATAGTCTCAGGGAATTCGTCCGCAAATTTTCTATGAAAAGCTCTCTATTTACTACAGGAAGGTTGCAACTATGTACTATTTATAGTCACTTATTCTAGTCAAATTTCGTTATCACAATTTCCTTGTGTGTGCGGCTTCCCATTTCGACATTTCGCCATTTGCCCTGAGCTTGTGAAAATTTTTCAGGTTTTTCGTCAGTCTTAAATAATGTGACCTTAATTTTACTGTAAGGAAGCTGAACTTCGGTTTTGATTTTATTGCCAGCGTTCAACTGAGGTAATAATGGCACTGTTCAATCCGCTTTTCTAATCAATGAGGGAGCATTGCCTTATTTAAATACTTAATCTTTCTCTAAGCACCTGAAGGACATCTTTTAAATTACAAAACATGCTAAAGGAAGACTAAAATGGACTTATCCAAAGATGACTTTTGAAATGTTTTGTATGAAACCAATAAAAATAGAAAAAGGGCATTGTCCTGGGGGAAGTGCAAGTTGCAATACCGTAGTCTATTCGGTTTTATTTTGTCTTTGCTCTTAAATTAAAGAGGAGATGGTCAACATGTGGACATGATGGTAAAAAGCCCCCCAAAGTCGAACCCAGTATCACCACTACCAGCAGCAGATGAGCCCCATCAGTCCACTCGACCATCGCATCGAGGTTTGACCACCCCGGCTGTCCTACAGTGGTTGGAATCGACCCAGGCCGCAACCCAAGCCGAGGGAGGGGGCATTTCACCCTTCACAACGCCCTCCAGCATCATCTCGGGCTCAAGTTCAGTTGCGCACACCTCGACTGTGGGCTGCGAGGACGAGACCATATCAGCTAGTCAGCACGACCTTGTCAGTCGCGTCATTCGACGAAATGTCCGAGAGGCCTCAAAGGACCTTCGTCGGGGCTTTTTTCTTGCTGGCTACCAGTCTGAACCTTTGACTATCCGATTTACAAACACAATGCCAGGAGAGAACTTGGGCATTCAAATTAAACCTATCTTTGCTGAACCGTCAGAGATTATGTCCTTTGCGGGAGAGATGCCTCTACATCCGAACGCGAATGGCAAATGGCAAGTTGGAGCTGAGTCTCTGAGAAATCGCTTTTGTGCCGCCTTTTAAAAAATAGCACATTTCATCACTAAGCTTCTTCTTTGGGACTTCTGATTATTCTATTGCGAGTTGGAGGTGAATACAACATCGTGCTCAAACGTTCTTATCCGACTATTAAAATGAATGAATTCGAAAAATCGATAAAATGGGTTTTTTAAATAATTCATTCTCTCCTCAATGCGTTTCCTCATGTTTTCTTAAATTTATTGGAAACATACTTTTAAGTCCTTTTTATGACAGAATCTGTAGGGCTCATTGTAAAATTGAATTTGATTCAACACTCAAGGTCCCGTTGTTTTTATGCAATTTAATTTTGTTTGATTGCAATATTATAATTTATGAAAGGATTGACAATAAATCGAGTGAAATCCAGCAAAAACGCTTCTGTTTCCCCTACACTGGTTCCTATAATTTTTCGTAGCATGTCGCAGGGTCACGAACTTAAAGGTCTTCCTGGCAATGGCTAGTTACACCAACAACTTTCGTTACCAATAATCTCAAATGGCGTATTGAGCCTGATTGTGTTACGTCATCTTTTTTCAGGAGTAAATGTTCCCTTTTTGTAATTATCATTAAGAAAAATGATAAATACAAAAACAAAATCGTCCTAATTTTTTAATGCTTATCACCTAAAGATGTAGGAAAAATATGAACAATGCTTTGCCATGGTAAAGTTAACACTCTGGAGTCTGTTTCGATAAGGAATCTACACTTTCTTTCAGCGAAGCGGGACTTGAAGTACATGCCATTATGCCGAATGGTCGAGTAGCACGTGAGGGGCTCTTATCGGTTGGTGACCGAATTTTGAGCATAAACGACACCTCCCTCATTGGAGTTCCTTTTGATAAGTAAGTGTTGAATTCCCTTTTTTAGTAGTTAAGATGAAATCCTACTTTTACTTTTGCATAGAATGCCAATTTTGCATGCAATTCTCAGCTGATACCAAGTAAAGGTGTGTTAGTTTTGGGTTTTATTTTACGGAAGTCGAAGATTATGCTACATGAGGCAAATTTGCGTGAACGCGAAGCTGACCCGTCCACTACTGCAAACTAAAATCTAGAGCACGGTTAACATTAATTTACATTTAATCGTCTGTTAAGTTGGGGTTTACAACACGGTAGAATGTTTCATTTCATTTTTTTTCATTTTTCAAAGAGTTATTTGCATCAACGTCTAACTACTCATGGGAATTGGAGTCACTTTGTTCTACACTTCCTACTTGACGTTACTGCTACTTTTCCGCCCAGTATTTGTTAGTTCCTTTGTTGTCACATGACAGGGGAGTAGGGCAACACAACTGGGACAGTGTAAAATTGGTCGATCTGACTATGCATATTCTCGATTTCGCTTTTAATAAAAAATACAAGGAATTCAAGGCTGTGTAGTTATAGCAAATAAATAGTCAAAACTACATATTCTTGTTTCACGCATATCAGTGTAAAATTAGAAAGGCTACCATGATAATATTTGGAGTAATATAACGGTTCTTCGATGTACTAACAAGAGTAATATAATTTTCGTAGTAGCATTTGGGTTAATTAAGTCGAAAAGCTACCAAGTATGAATGAAGTTCAAATGATTACCATTTCTATATTTGGAAATTGCTGTATTCGAATGTACCTTTCTTCTGTTTAAATTAACGATACTGGTACAAGTTTCTGTCTCACTGATAGAAATCGAAATGACTTGTTTGTGAATTAATTGGTTTGGTTGTTCCCTAGATGATAATCTGTACCTGTCGTGGAATCAGATCTGCCAAGAAGCATCTTTTTTCGTCCTTTATGGTGTCTTAATGCTCGAAACACTATTTGTCCTACCTTTAAAATCGCTTTCAAAAGCATTTTAAGGCCAAATAGAGTGTCCCTGGACTTGCGTTACAAGAGGAGCTTTGTGATTCTACGACATGGTAAGGGCTGCCTATCGTGCACGTCTCACAACACCCAAGAATAGACGTAGCGCGCGTGTGTACACTCGTACGGCCTTGTCACATAACCAATCAGGGCGGGAAGGCAACATCGCGTTTCCTGTAGTCGTTATTACCAAAGTCTGCCCCAACACCTATCACGGGCTTGTTGTGTATGTAATCGCACGTCCCTGCAGATGGGAAGATTTAGCGAGCTAAATTTCAGTTTTGTGAATAATACATACACAGAAAGGTGGCAATGGGGGATATGGAAGAAATCAGTTTCCTTCACCTATATCCTCTGTGCGTTAAAGGAGTTTCGTTTGGGATACCACCTAAGATGCTCCTGTCGGTGATCATGATCGTGCTGATTTGTTGAGCTTTTGATTAATTAAGTAGTAGATGGGAATGTACGTTTAATATTCCAAAGGTAAGACCCAACATGCCTCTTAAGATGCACGAAGATAAGTCTGCGGTCAATACTTATTTTTTTTGTATAAGGGATTAATTAATTTGAATGATCGGGATAGTAACACCTTCGAAACTGTTTATGACGTGCTGTATTACCCACTTCCATTTGTCTCCTCTGCACCAATACCTACCCCTTGCCAAGGAATAGCATAATTCCAAATCGTATTTAAACTAAAACGTTCCTCGCTCTACCTGGTCAAATAATCTGTCAGGAAAATAATTCATCAACCCACTACTTTGGATACCCACATTCGTGACTCGAGTTTCTGGATAAAATTTTTGGCATTTGTAACAGCTGAGGTGCTCAGCCATTGCTGGGAATAGGGTTCTGAGTTCTTCATGGACAAACCCTTGAATAAATTAGGCGCCTATAATTTCCATAGCATTCTCGCGGTGTTTAGGTAACAAACATATATTAGATGGAATAACCGTTCTCAGGTCCACATTGTCGTCATTGTTCGTTAAGAAGGAAAATGATGGCAAACAACCGAGTATGATGAGTAAAAGCCTGTTCTGTGTACGTACGTATGTTAGAAAAAAATACTTTGGATATGTAGGTGTCACGTACTACAAAGTTTTTAAACAGTTTGGGGTCAGTTGCGCCCTATGAGGTTGCCCCTCTGTACTTTAGCCCTAGAACCCATGCTTCTAGCACAGTGTAAATTCACTTTTTTTTGTAACTCGAACACACGTTACTTGAACTTGCTAATAGTGGCTTCATCTCACACATTTATGTGGGGTGCGGCGGAACTTTCTTTCTGGTATTCCAGAGTTAATTGCTCTAAAGCAAGTTAAACACTTATGCTATTCGCATAATTCATTTACCCTGTCCAAAATATTGAAAGCACATTTCAACTTTTCCAGGCTCAAATGCCTAGGTGACGTGAAAAAGTACTGTGAAAGAATGGAAAGTAATGTTTCCTCTCAGAAACCTAGGCCTAGATAGATAAGTTATTTATTTAAATGGACTGTAGAGCGGTACAACTTTCCAACAAAGATGTTGGCTTGCTATCTTGGTTGTATTTTGAAGAGGAAAAGTTCCGTATCCTGCAGTTTACTTTCATAGGTTTGGGGGCTTTGTTCCCAAAACTTAGTCATTTTCCCATTAGTTTATATTTTATCTACCTTTGCGACATCAAGTGATTTGCTATAGTAACTTTAGCCGCTTTAGCTATTTGTTTCGTGAATTAAATGTCAATGTGAAAAACTCACCACCGACTTGCTTTGGTAGTGAAAAACTACTCTTTTCACTCATGTTTGACCGAAGGGCTTTCTTAAAAATAATCAGCTCAGATATATGTTTTCTGCCTATCTGCACTTTCTGGGTGGTTGAACATTTGAGAGAGCAAAATCTGTTTGGTAGGTTTCAAACCTTAACTTACAGCCAATGAGCTACTATTTGGTGAGTACAACTCAAAAGCAGATTTTCATATTAACACGTTATTGTCTACTAGAATATGAAATTTGCAGTGTATGCAATACCCTCCATATAGTGGTTTTATTTATTTTCATTGTGCTGTTTTCCACTTTGGAATATGCTCGGAAAACCAACCTTCGTAAAATCGAGTCATATTCAACACAACTAATTGTAGTACATTTCCGCTTTATGGAAGTCCGCTCAAATATCTGCGCAAATGCGGGTCCGGCGTATGGCTACCGTTCTTTTCATATTTTTGAATAAGCCCAGGAAAATCGCTACGCTACGCTTGGAACATCACGCCAGTTTTGCCCTTAATAAATTCGGAAGTGGACTCGCGTAATGTGGATGTTTGCTCCCACAAGAATAAACAAGTTATACCTTGAAGTCATATGAATATGTGAGACTTGCTCCATCAGGCTCACTATTTTACTCTCCTTTACGTTCCGTGGAGCAAGTGGAATGATAAGGTACTTGCACTTCCTAGTTTTCAATGTGTCTAGAAAGTAGTCTCGTTTAGTGTCTAGGTTGCAAGTCACGGAAATGGTGCAATTCTACGTACAGCTCGTAAACAAGCAGCTCCTTTTGGTGCAAGCATCACTAGCATGTGCTTGCTGTGGGGAGCTTGGGAGGCATTGTATGCTCAATAAATTATTGTTAAAAAACCCCTTATGAATCTTTAGGGGTAGAGACATCTTCCAAGAAGCGCTGAAGAATCACGAGCTGGCGCTCCAGGTACTTCCCTACACAGGCAAAATCACTCGCAGTGTCTCTACGGCCAACTACCCGAGTCGCTGTCCAACTCCACCTGTCCTTCCCACACGTGAGGTTGGTGCAGTCGTAACAGACGGTGAGAAGCCCACATGTGGCCTCGTGATGGTGGTCGATCACTCGGGGAAGGCAAAGGAGGTTGCCACCTCAAAACCGGGTCCACCACCCCCGCCTAGACGCTCACCGCACACTGCACTGTCACAACAACAGCAACAGACGGATGAAATACATGCAAAAGTCACACCTGTTCTCCCTCTGGGACAAAAGCAGGAAGTTGCGCAACCACGAGTTTTAACTTCCGGTCCAGAGACAAAAACCGTCCGTCTGAGAAAGGGTAAGCGAACGTCTTGCAACAAATTCCTCGAAAATATCAGTGCCAACGGAGAATTTTGGTCGAGATAGGTAATAGTTGAACTTCATCAAGGACCTACAAATGTTGCATGTACCAAGGCGATTTCTGATTGTCTACATTCTTGCTAGTTTACGCCTATAGCGCCTACCAACTGTGATTTGCTCGATGGTAATTTTTAAGCGTCCGGCCATGCGATTCGAAAAATGGCAATGCAGCTGTAATTCTTTATAATTCAAATAAAAGTCCATCCTGTTTAATAGCTTCACACTATCCATTTCTTCATGAAGTGGATTGTTGAAGTTTTCTGGACCTTTGGCGGAACATCCTGTCACAATTCAACTTCGTTAATAGTGTACTACCAACTGTAGGCACCAATGGCCCCAGATTTCCTAAATTACTGCTGCATATCCCAGCAGCCCAATGATCTTCCCGTGGCGGTATCGGGTCGGTGGAGTGGCTGGGGTGCAAAGTGGTGATTCACGCGTGTGTGCTGTCGTAGCTCGACCACTGTTTGTGCAATTCCAGCCTTCAGATTTCCATTGTTTATTGAGAAAGTTCACGACCGATGGGGCGACTAAATGGCGCATCAATTGAGCAACTGATATGCCACAACATAGGTTCTGTCTCCACATGTCATTTTTGCACCATTTTGACTGCTCATTTTCATCTATGGGAAGAGATTTATCTCTCAAACACGAGCACTTTCTCTAACCGCTGTTTTTGGTAATGTTCAGACGCGAAAACATTGCTAGCATGTTTTGTTTACACACCTACGGTGCGTCATTATGCGTGCAATTGGACCTCATACCTCTTCAGGACACTTCCCCTCCAGTGAGTCAGCCAGATTGCACGCTGATAAGACCAGGTATTTCAAGTTTTACTGTCACACAGGCTGGATGGAGCTTAAACTAGGCGTCAAAATAAGCGGTGCAATCGCCTATCATTCACATCCAGTGTCTGGGCTGTCGTTGAGATATAGCGATACTGCCTATTACACATTCGGTAGTAATTTGTATGATACTTTTAGGTACTATATTTTCAAAGAAAAGAAAATTCACCCATGATGGATTCAAGATATTATGAGCGCTTACGCAGTTCAGCGTTCTAACGACGCCCATTATCAGATTCTCGATTTTATCGGAGTATCAAATCTTTGAAATCCACCGCTAATGACGCCATCAAGTACCACCTTAAATGTTCGCGCTTTAATGCTAGTTCTCCTACTCTCAAGCGCTTTGGCACTAGCAAGAGCTCCCATTTAGCCTAACCGTCGTTATTGAATCCCTTGTTTAGGAGCTTCTGGTTTGGGGTTCAGTTTGACCAGTCGAGATCAACATCAAAGGAAGCCGAACTGCCTGGTTTTCATCAAAAACATCCTGCCTGGTGGGGCCGCTCTTTTGGACGGCAACTTGAAGCCTGGTGATCGCCTCCTTATGGTGTGTATACGACATTATTTTCCATTGTACACATTATAAATTTTGTGCAATTTTATCACAAAAGTTTAAGAAACTAGTGTCAAACCCAGTGATTTATTACATTACGCGACAATGAGCAAAATCTAAACTCAGGCACTGTATTGGCTTGTATGAAGCCAATGGGAAAAGATCTTACAGACTATCCGGTGGTTTTCTGATTTCTTGCCTCCGTGATTCACGCCCGAGCGGAGTGTCTTCCTGTAACTACGTTAACGCCACGCAACGCCAAGCCACGCGCGCGTGTAGGCTGATCACTGGATTGGACGAAGCGTTTTCCTGGCAGGTGCACTTCGGTCGCTGCCGCCACACAACTGACTGCGAGGCCTGGTTGGTTGGACAGGTGAAATTCGTACATAATTTACTGACCGAAGTGCCACACATTTTCGTTAAGAATGGACGTTTTTCTCAAAGTGGGATTGTCTGTGAGCAGATATGGAGCGTTCGTCAAGACGCTGATGATGCAGATGACAACACACTTGTAAATCTCGTGATGCAAAGCATCACTTCTGATTCGGCAAAAGGTGAATATCACAGGTTCGTAAATAGAAAACTCAGAAGCTATCAAAATCGTGTAGCAATGTAAGGCAGATTTTCTACTCTTTCCTCCAAAACTCATACCGGGGCACAATTTTAAGGCATGCATACACTCATACGTGATGTAATCGTTAGTGCTGTGAAAATGTTCGCATACGTCTATTCGCGATTCCTAATGAATTGTCACGCTTGTTCATTCCTTGTGACCGGGGAAACATAAACGAACCAGCATGTTATGAGCAAATTGTCCCTCATTGTTTATTTCTCCTCATGAAGCATGAGTGTTCCTACTGTGGTCCACAGATTGCATACTATTTTCCTTTGGAAATAGACCAAACGAAATGTGGCTCGTCACTCTGCCAATTAGCTAATTTAACGTTCAGGTGATTGCTCAGCCCTCTTTCTGAAAAGTTGCCAAATTTCAAACGCAACTGACCTTAATGGACAGTTGCGTCCTTCCGAACCATGAACATAATAAGCCACGGAATGTAAGGCGATGATTTACACAAGTTGGTAGACCAACAGAATCATCGATTCGACTAAATATTCACATTGGACAGCAAGTGAAGCAAGTAGTAGTTAGATGAAGGTGTTTTGCGTACTCTGGACAAAATCAGTGACTCTTGGTGTAGCGTATGGAAATGCAAAAGGATAATACGAAAGCAAACCAATTCTTGAAATCCTAGCACATTTGTCTATAATTAACTAAGGAATTTTTTGTTCATGAATTATTTGTGGAAAATAGACGATCAGAGAGCTTTATTAAGGTTCAGTGCGTACTCCAACACCTTGTTTTGCACTTCTTATTTGATTTCTGTGTTTGAATTTAAGCATGCATAGATCATTCGACACGTGCATTCGTCCTCACTTTTGATGTGAAAATATTTTACGAAGTCCAAAATAGACTTAATTTTAATGGGCACATTGCCAAGTGGTATTTAACATCTTGCTTTTTTGTCTTGACGATTAACAAAGCCCTGGTACATAGGTAGATTTTGTAGATAGTTGCTCCTAGAAAGCACTATAACAGCTGGCAGTGCCGCAAGAAGTAACAGATTAGTGTCAATGCTTTATTTATAATTTACGGGTGGACTTGGTTACGTAAACATGTTGTACCCTACGTGGGCTAAGATACTATGATGCATTAATTAATTGGGGTGGTAGAGGAGTGGCTATCGCCTATTTTATTTTCCAGGTTGACGATAAGGATGTTTCTGAGTTGGGCCAAACGACAACTGTGGCACTCCTAAGGGAGAAACCGATTGGGAGCCTGGTCACCCTTGTGGTCTCGTCTGGTCCTCACCATCAGGAGCTGAACTGTTCCTCCACCAAAAACAGTGACGAGACACATAGCGATAGAATTAGTTCGTCACAAATCGTAAGCAATGGATTTCATTAACTATGCATTTTTGCTATTTTCCAGAATGATTTGGTTTCGGCGGCATATTTTTTCACTAATCGAAAGTTCACTTTACATGCTTACTGTTTTAACTGCTTGACTGATGTATGACTATCTGGCCTCGTTTAAATATAGGTAAGGAATGTTTTTTTTTAGCTAAAATTTTGGTTATCAATGTATAAGGCTGTACTTTTTGCAGGGAATTTCATCTTTAGATGGTAATTGTGGTATTATTTACAGGATATGGCTTCGATAGAATTCCGAACTGAAGAATCTGCGGGAAATCCAGGTTTAAAAGGAGAATCAAAGATGCTTGATTCGGAGACTCGCTGATTGATCTGATCTGTTTTTAGCCAGTTGCTTTTCGATAGACAAGAAAGGTTTGGCATTTCTAGGCTCTTGGTTCTAGTCGCACACCATGCGGTTGCCCCTTTCGTGAATGCAAAAGTGCCCTAAAGTAACAGCTGCGACCTAGGGATACCGAAGGCCACTTCAGGCATCAGTCCCTCCGATTGGGTTTTTCACGTTCTTGTGCGTAGAGAAGTAAATCGCAATTTGTGCACCCATAACTCAAAATACAAAATAATATGTACAAACACTTCTGATTTTTAATAACTCAGATGATTCGGAAATAAACGAATTTCATTTTTTGTGGGAAAGTGATTTTGTAATTATTTGCCAAACACTTCTGGACCTCTCTGATGCGCTAACCGCGCTACATTATGGAATGACCGGCATAAAGATCAGGACTTTGGACGTCATTCACACAATGTGCGCTCCCAATTGCCCATCCGCAAAAATTGGCACGCGCCACAGCAGCTTCGGATTTGCATTCTAGGCTAGTTTACACTCCCCTTCACTTTGCGATTGGTTAAAGTTATCAAATATTGACTGGTTACCGAGTTTGTAGAGCACAAATAAAATTGTCATAAATGAAGGAACTGGATCTCTTAATTGCAGGAAGGTAGCAAGGAAGATTTCCTGAAGTATTTTGCAGTGGATCCCACCTTAGTCAAGTTGCATACCTTTGAAATCCCAATCTCCTGCGACTCTAAAAATGAGGCCACAGAGCATGCTGGTCCGAAGCCGTCCAACCGCTCCTTCTCCACCCCCGCTTCCTTGCTGGCCTCAGCCTTCACGCTGGGGGTGAGTGTGCGAGTGCGTCCTCTCAATCCTGACGACTGCTCGCCCACTGTTCTCGAGACTGCCGTGAAGGCCGTCGCCACCACTACCACTGTAACCTCCGCTGACGACGCATCCAACACCAAAGTCTGCGAGGACTGCAGTAAAAACGGTGTCTTTGTGCGCACCGTCATTCCTGGGGGCGCCGCACATAAGGTGTTGATCACCAGTGTTAATATCTTTTCACTTTCACAGGGTACTGTTCTAAGACAGCTTTAGAAATAGCGAATTTTCTTGTGAAAATCAAGCGCCCCTGAGATGGCTCTATCTTTTGCTTTCCTTTAAAGCAACGAATTTGCACCAAAAGATGACCTTGCTTTAAGGTGAAGGCCTTTTTAAATGTTTTATGCGTTCATGTGCACAATCGCTCGGTCTAAACACTAGCCTTTCTAACCATCCATCCGATCGAACAATCGTCAGTCCTTCTTATTTTCGTTTTTCACTCTTCTGACTTTGATCCCCACTTAATCATCCCTTTGAGTGGACTACTTACTTACCTTTGTTTTCCTCTTATGAATTTTTTTCACCATAAAAAAGGGATTACTAGTAGTAATGACCACCAAATGGCATATCTTTAAAAGTGAATACTAGGGCATGCAAGGCTAGTGCATAAACGACAGCTTGGAAAATCACTGTAGGCGATAGCAAAATTTCAAGTTCAGTGCTCCTTTCTTAATGGCGCGTTATCTGTTAAATAAACCAAATAGCAACCTTGTCATGTATCGAGGTATTGGAATACCCACTTAGAATTATAATTTGTGGCGCACTGGAGTCAAAGTTCATCTCCTACTGAGTCTTTTTCTACGAAACTGGCACCTCAGTTACAGTACTGCAAAAATAGTTCACTTGATGAACTGAATGGCTGGATGTTTGGGCGTTGTTATTAAATAGCATCTAAATAACATTCAAACGTCAATATTTGAGTAGCATTCAATTACTTTATTCAAGTATTTACATTAATATTTAGATTAGTGCTTAAATATTGTTCAAATGTTAATGCTAAGCACTGACTAAATAACATGAATACCGGATAAATCGGGTCAGTTTCACTACTTCCCGTAAAGCGTTTTTTGCAGAAGACCTCAAACGACGCTTGAAAGGAAAGCTAAACTCTAGTTTGCAAAAGAGGGGTGAACAATCCTAATTACCTCATTGGCAAGTGAGTGGGTAAGCTGGGTCATTTTTGGTAGCCTTTTACCCAGTCTAGAGCAAATACGCGGTGGATTGAGAACTGCAAAAACAGACAAAGTAGATATGACAAGCACTCACAAATCATCTCCGCTTCAGGTTTGCGTTGACTTCCTCTGCAGACTTGCTTCCCAAATGAATGAACAGCCTACATTTGGCCACCCAGACTGACGACATAACACACTTGTGCAAGGCCTGGTTGCTGCTAACCCTTTTTCTTGGGAAAGCCATTTGTAGCTGGGAAACCAGATCATTAACTTGTGCGGGCCTCCACAACCGAAGGCAGAACCTGCCAAAGGATGGTATCCTTTAGAGGCTGACCACTGGACTGATGTATGGCTGAAGGAATTTTAGTTTGATCAGCAGCGGTGAAGGTTTGGGATACAGTTTGATTTTATTGTACAATGCAACTCAAATGCATCAATAATTGCAAACATTTTGATTCCTACAAGGTTGCTAAGTAAAAACAAAACTCGGAATTTGGATTTTTTAAATCGCAAAACACGATTTTGTCAGGTCTGATGGTAAAAATCTACGAACCCCTGAGCTGCTTCACAGTTCTTCTATCCTTTCGTTAAAATGATAGTCATCTGCAGCAAAAGTGAGGAGCATTCGTGTCAATACGTGCAGAGAACGATAAAGTGAGGTGATGGTTTTTTTAACAGCTTTAACGGATTGATTTTTGGTGGCAGTTTACTGGATTTTCGGCCTACCTAAATTGTCCCAGTGTCTGCCTTGTAAAAGGGCGCATTATTTGTATGAAGCAATAGTGATTGTGCTTAACTTTCACTAGTCACTACTTAATCAAACCCGTTTTCTTCTGTACTTCTAGCGGTTTTATGCGCAGCAGCTGGCTATACTACTGATAAAGTACTAAACGAGTCTCGGTGCCAAATACACTAGTAACTGCTCTGCTATGTCTTAGTTACGGAAAAGCCTGATGCTCATCAATAACTTTGGTGTCGTCGGTAAATGTCTCATATAGAGGTGCTGTGGAATGGTCATTCCATCTGTCACTCTTTTAGCTAAATATCATTAATGTTAGTAGCATGATTCACGGGAAATTTATTATCACTTGCGTCGACTTATGTTCTACTTAAGGTTCTTTCCCTCATCACTTTCATTGAACTTTCTGGAGGAAATGCAAGAATCGTAAAAATTACCACATCAACTTATGTAATTTAACAATAGATTCTTGAATTTTATTAAAATTGGTGAATTGTTAGGCTTTGTAGGAAAGTCATGGTAATGTGCATTTTTATATTGCTTATTATCCCTCCCTCTTTTAAGATGGGACAAAGATATGTTGGTACATATTACGCTAAGAAACACCACTTTTTTACAGTTTTACCAACTTAAGAAAATATGAGTTTCTGGACTATTTTTATTAGATCAACTCAGACTGTTGATCTTTTCAGATATAACAGTAATTGCATTTATTCCTTTCATATAGAGATAAAAACGCATTGACATTATCGCCTGCATTTTCCATTAAATTAATGATAACTTTGGAAGTACCGTTTACCCCAAACCTGTCTCTAACAGACCTCGTTTCAATGCAGTGAACACTGAGATTATTTTCGCCTCGAAAGAATGATAGGAACGTGATCATGTAGTGCAACAATTGGTTTAATCTATGCACCTGTAGGCTCAAGCGCGTATTCGGTTCATAGCAAATCGAATCCATACACATAATCGAATGCTATAAAAGCAATTATCTTTTAGGACGGTAGACTGCAAGTGGAGGATCGGCTGTTAGCAATTGATGATCGTCCCCTGTCTTGTCTATCATCCTCTGATGCACTCCGCTTGCTCAAAACCTCGATTTCCCGCATCACTACTGATAGAGAGCCCTTCGTTCGACTTCTAGTGGCTCGCAGAATCCGTGACGTCGCTGTAGAGCCACAACTGTTGCAGCTGCCTCAACTATCTGCCACAGAAGTCTTATCCAGGCGTCATGGTAGCCCACCAAAACTGAGGCGAGGCGAGGGTGCGAACTCAGGATCATTGGACAGTCTGGTGTGTGGTGCGATACTAAGTGCAACACCAATTTTAATTCTGGATGAGGTTTTGCCATCCAGGTCGATGTGCTCGCGACAAGTTGCTCACAAAAATCCAAATAAAATTAGTAGTGTTAGTCACGCTAAGACTAATGTGAGAGGTCATTTAAGCCTTTTAATAGCACATTTAAGTAGTGCATGCATTAGATTTTAAGCTAATTGTTGTATAAGGTACTGTAGTGGTAATTTGTAACTGAAGCACTCTTCATCCTCGGCAGCTCGTTGATGCAGCGAACCGTGTAAATTCGTTTGTGGTGTCGGCGAACGTTCATCAGACGGCCCAAGGTGAAGCTCCTCAGCCCTCTACCTCCACGAATGGGACTCGACAACAATCCAGTGCTTTCAAAAATAATCAAGAGGTACGTCCATCCTGACTATGAATCTTAGGTATGGGAAACAGTCTTTGAAAAGATACTAAGGAAGGATTTTTCGCAGTATGCATGACTGGCTGTGGAAAGCTTGTCACGCGATATATTGGTTCAGTTTGCATGTAACACATTTGTTCTGTCTCTGCAATAATGAGTCGCTTACATACACATAAATATGCTTTTTATTGTTTATTTCAATAAATAACACATTAACTCTCATTATAAAAAATGATTTTTTCGTGAGTTTCTTTCTGCGGGAATTCATCACTTGGTTGGTTGGATTAATTTGTCCCTTCCGACACCACAATATGGTTCGATATTACAATCCTGTTAGAGCAAAGTCATTAATCAAAGCTGCCTCTCCTAGATATACCGGAGTCAGTCATCTTTTTGCCTTTCATTGAAATAAATGACTTCATTGGCGTAAAAGAATTGTAGCTGCTTAAATACAACAATAGGGTACAAACAAAATATTGCATAGGAATTTGCCTTATTTGTGATTCTAAAAAAGGTAAAATGGCCCTTCCACAGTAAATTTGATTGACGACAAATACTAGCTAACTTCTCTGCCACAGATAACTGTGATCCTTAAAGAAGCCCAAACGTTTTCATTTTTCTTCATTAAATTCAACCGAAGTAAAACATTTAAAGTATGTGGCTTCAAAACCCTCATGTTCCCCAATGTTTTCTTCACAATGGCAATATACACATGTTGTTACTGCTGGGGATTGTGCCTGTGTGTGGCTAAGTTGTTATATATTGCATTAAAATGATTATGCCGACTATGAACTGAACAGGCGTAACCTCTTATCCTTTCATTTTTCGACCATGTCCATCATGCTCCTCTTCACCGTCGCCAATCGTTGTGTTCCCCCAAACCCACCAAACCCCAACTTCAACCTCTTACTTTTGGGCCAATGTTTTCGGTATGTTCGTGAACGTCGCCAACGCCGCTTCTCTGTGCACCGCCTGCTGATTCAACCTGTGCCCTGTTGAATGGTGGCCACGCCTATGCACACTTATATCTTACCTTTCTCCCCCTCCCCCATCATACACACAAACACACACCGCCCATCGGTTCTTACTTCATTCACTGCAGCTTGCTAATATGTGATGCGTGCTCCTTCCTTCCGGCGCTAGTGTTGCATGCATAGATAAGTGTGCGCGTCCATGCGTCTCCCTTTGCGCTCGTGGTCCTGTAGCCACCTCCTCTCAGTTACCTAGAATACATGCGATTTAGTTTATCTAATCACCACGAATCACTGTAAAAGGTTTGTTCTTCCTTCCATCTGACTCTATTCCTTCTAACTTTCTGTTTCCTACTACCTTTTAACAACCTAACTTTAGTGCAGTGTTACAACTTGTATGCAAGCATGATTTTTATGGTGGCATGAAATACCATCTCGGCTGGCCCAATTTCATCGCGCTTATGAATAAAGGAAAGTTGATAGAATGTTCGAATGGGTAAATCGGTTTGATGGAGAAGGTATAAGACCACCGCTTTGTATGTTCGTTTTTGATTGCAATAATGTCGTAAAAAGTTTTCATAACCGGTTAAACTTCCATTCGATATCTACATATGTGGGGGAATTGGCTAGTCATCCCCGTGCCTAGCCTAAGTTCCTTTCGGTTATTTTGCTTCAAACTATGTTGATAATGCAATAAAAACTAATGCTCGTGACCGTTTGTAAATCGTTCATGGTAGGTATCTGGACTTTGATACATAATTGCGTCATCACTGTCAGTGGATAAATGCATATTAGTTTGGTGCAGATAATGACACCTCAAAAATACCTATGCCAACTACCTGAGATTTGTATCACATCGTCATTTTAAGTGAGACATTGCAGTTGTTGGTCGTATTTCTACCTATTTGGTTGAACTTATTTGGTTTGGCGCCCATACATTTTAGGTGAATTTCCACTAATCGTGTGGCTCTGGAGCTTCTACGTGAATGAGGGAAAAAACTACACTTTCATAGCATGTTTAATAAGAATTTCCCAGCATTATTTGCAATTTCCTGTTGAGGTGAAATTTATCATTAAAACACTGTTCCATCATCAGCGGCCTTAAAATTTCCTGTGTAATATGCGGAGATCATTTCAAGGGTTTTGATAAATGAGCTGGCAGTATACTGTACTATTTTACATTTTTAGACGTTATTTGGTAAAAAGCAGTTCAACCAATCCAACTCCCTTCGAAAATACTCCTCTCTCGAGGCATTGAGAAGCCCTAAATTGCTACCCGAAGCTCCAGCTCAAATTGACTCGTATGTTTCTTATTATAGACTTGAAAGTTTCCCAAAATGGCATTTGATGCGACATTTTAATATTGCTTATTGGGTGTGAAAATCTACATAAACGAGTATCCATGGTACATGTAAAAATATGCCTTTTTATAAGGTTCTTTTACAAGTTCAAGTATTAAATTATGCGGTTTTAATGAAGAAGTGCAATTTTTCGTTCCAATGTGGTGCTCTCCACTAGCTATCGAATGTCAAATAATAACAGCAAAAGCAGCAATTCAGATTGTGTTTTAGTCACGAATCATCTGCGAAGGCCGAAACATCCACACTTGGCGTAAAGCAAGAGCATCCAGATTCAGCAAAAACGGACTCTTCAGCTACCTCTGACACAGCTACCTTCGCTACCGCCACTTCAGGTACCTTTGAGTAACCTTATACCTCACCATCTTGCGGTTTAAACTGTTATTAGGAAAAACAATAGGTTTGATCACGTTCGAATTTTCGTAGACCTCATGCGTGGCTATCACTGAGATTTGTTTCGTGGTGTCATAAGGCGAACACAGTTTTCACACTTTCCTCTAGCATGATGGCCAGGGAGAAGACTCATCAGGAATGGTTGAACTCTTCGTGTCTTCAATAATGTTGCAACACTAACAGGTAATAACAGCTGCATTGGAAGTGAATAAGACGATTCTTACATCAGCATCATACGCGCCTCATTTGTATAAAAGATGTGCAACACTAAAACACAAGTTGAACAAAATTTTGAGGGTAATTTGATTTTAGGCGACACTTTCGAACTGTGTTTGGGTTGAGTATCCAGGTTTTCCCTTTTCTCTCAGTATTGGCTTTCATCTCTGAATGACTTACCGAGAACCTGTGGTCTTCCATTTTCATGAATTTGTGTTTCTATTGGACATGTGAAAATCGGGGATATAAAGACGGCAATGGAAAGGAAACCTGCATTAGTTCGTTGATGTACCTTTAACTGTTAAAGAGGTGAACTTTTGGTGCGTATTTGTAAATGCTAAAACAAAGGCAAATAGTTGCTGCGGATGGACTACGTCATAACATGGTATTTTTCTTCGGGACACACGCTTTGGAAGAGGTTAATTTGTAAACAGCGGTGCCTCATGGAAACGAAAAAGTGATACATTCATTTTCCCCATTTGAGCAGAAATAAAATGAGAGTGTTTTTTTGTAACATGGAAAATTAGTGGTCCAAAGTCAATGCTCGGATAGACTGTTCGATTAGCAATTTTACTAGTGACATAAAAGTGGCTGTAGTGCATTTTATTAATATGCCCAATCACGTTTCCTAGCCCAACTTCATTCAGCGAGCTAACCAGGAGCAATCTCGTCAAAAAAGTCAATTTTGACCTTAGAAATTACTACGGCACTGCAAATTTCCAAATGTTTTTCTTTTAGCTTAGGTTCTGTCGAAAGTATTTTTTAAAAATAAATTAATTGATGTGATGTGGCTACCTAACCAACTTAAGTAGAGGGTATTAGTTATTTGGCTTACGGCCCAGCTCACTCTCACTGGAAATCCCACACTTCCTAACGAAAGCAGTTTGGGCAAAGCGAAAAAAGTTTCCTCTTTAACAGTTACCACTTTAGCAGTTGTCAAGCATTGTTGGCCTTACATTTAAATGGCTTCTTAGGCAAATAGTTAGTCGATTCTTGAGTACACAATTTCATTGTTTTTGCTTGTCAAGAGTACGGAAAATAAGTTTGTTAAGAATAATATTTTTTGCATTAAAACAACCGCTGTAACGTGCTTCTTACACTTGTGTTATGAGAATTAGGTTCGGTATGGGGGAGATTGGATTTATTACAACACAACGCACCAGTTATTATGGGGCAGATATTTTATTTGCAATATTTAAGCTGTGAACACCATCTAGGACGCGTAAAAATGCGTCTTGTGTTCAACCACCTTTCTTCCATTTACTACTAATGTTAAAAAGACCTTGCACCTGACTATAAAACATCAAATCAGAATTTGAGCAATGTTATATTGGACAGACCCTCGATCGGGGCAGATTTACCGCTGTGACTCTCAAGGCACGGTGGATACGACGACAGAGTCAGATTCCACAACCCTCAATGACCTCTCAGGAAGGGGTGTTGGAGACCAGTTTTCTGATGGCAGCAGCTACGATGTGCTAGCGGTGGGTGCCTCTCGTCTCTACGAGGATGAAAAGTCCACCTCGGGTGCTATCTCCGAGCCTGAGATACTGCCCAGCCTACAGCGACGGCGGCGGCGGCTGCGGAAGAAGACAGGAAAAGCGCGGGTGGGAAGTCGGTCCCATAGGCAAGATGGTGGAAACATGCACCAGCGTACCGTCGTAGTGGTGAAGCAACCCAAAATTGATCTGGACAACATGGTTGTTGTGGCTTTCGACAGGATTCAGGCCTCAGGCGGACTTCAGGAGTCTGTCGCTGTCCAGACATCACCTTCGGAGGAGAATATGGACTCTAGCGATCTACAAAGACGACGTACGACTGGGCGTGGGACCGGGTTTTGGAGGAAGGGCAAGGCCACTTCTGAAGACAAGAGTGTGGGTAGCAGTGAAAAACCGCAAGGTAAGGGTCAGTTGTCGGCTTATGTAATTGCATTTATGGAATGATTCAATTTTACAAGTTCGCATAGGCAGATTTTATAGAACTTACGATTTTTAGGTGTTTTGCATCTGCTATTAGCATTTTTGGTTCTTTTTAACGGTTACTGTAATGTATTTTGGCAGAGTGCATTATTTTATTCATCTAATGAAAAAGTTTTGTGACAGATGTTTCTGCCAGGAATAGCCAAACTTAAGCCTATTTTTACTTACAGAGGTCCAACAAAGCAAGCGAAATCATCCTTCGGAAAGCGCGTTAAAGAAACTTCTTCGGTAGGCTTTAGCGCCTCTTTATTACCATTTGTGGTGCTGTAATTTGTAGACAAATAATTGGCCATGGTTGGACATTACGCACCGATTGTATGCTCTGAATATTTTTAATTCTTAACGGTGTAGCACATGCTGAATAGCTTTTAGTACATTTAGGAGCACGGCCAAGTATGTTTACCAACGCATTTAAAAATTACTCCCTGTCAAAGTTGTTGAACATCTTAGAAAAATGCTAATAGTCAGTGTTTAGCATACAGCAATGGCTTAGAGCAAACTGCTGCTTATTTTTAAATCAGTAAACACAACTGGCCATCAAATTTTATTTGAAAGAAATATTCTTTTTTAAAATGTTTCATTCTAGCATGAAAATGATATTACGGAAAATCTCTATCAATTCCTATCGGTTTCTGATCAGTTGCGTGGGAGCAATTCGGAAATTAATACAAGCTATTATTATACGACTGACATCGTGTGTGTTCAATGTTCAGGCACCATTATACACGTGTGCTTAGGCTGGGAGACGAGTAGGTCCAAGACTTAATAGAAATAGTAGAAATATCAGTGATGATTTCTAAACTATCGCCAAGCACTGTATTGGTTGGAAGAGGACATTTTCTAAGACGCAGTGCTAAAACCGCATTGCAGTTTTGTGAAGCCCTCGGGTCGATCGCACTCGGAGTACACGGCTCCTGTGGCTCGAATATTTTCTGGTCGTAACCTTGACCGTGGTACGGTGGCCTACACTTCCACACACCACCCGAGTCTCCGCCTACCGGTGAGGAGCCCCCTGCCCACTGATCTAGCATGTGCTTCAATGGGTGCCGCTGGACATCTCATCTGGGATTCATCGCACCTCCAAATCCATCGTCCGCGCCTCGTCGGCGACCGACCCCGGCTCCTTCTCCACCGTACCTGGAACCCCATGGATCCCACCCTCCTGTAGGTTTGAGCTACCTTTTTCCTAGTTCCCGTGATGTTTCCCTAAATGTTATTACTGAGGCGTTGAAACCATAATTATCTATTCTGCTATTCCTTATTGAACTATTTACTTCTCTTTGAGTTTTTGGAAATTTTATGCTACGAATTAAAATGTTCAATTGTCCTGACTGAAGAGTTTTTAAATGACTAATTATTTTGTGGAATAATTATGTATGCAGTAGTAATCGGCAGCCCAAATTCAGAGGTCACTGTCCGGCAAAGACAATGGTAATTGAGCTGCGATGAGCAGACCAACAACATCGTCGGTACTGTGACACCTTTAACTCATTGAAAAGGGCAAAATAACGGTTTGAAACCGTTTTTAATGCGTGGTGAAGCATAATAATAAGGAACAAAGGCGAAGAAAGTAGGATCTATCCTGTCATTTGTCGTGTTTCATTCGCACGGACGATTTTTATTTAACCAGTTAGCCCAAAAACATGCATGTAAAAGTATTTGTGCGCAACGTGAAGAAACAGTAGCTGCATTTGGTAAATATGTACTTTTTTAGAAACGCCAACGGCACGCCCATACCGACTTTTCAAGCATCTCTCTCACAAACCAAAAATCAGCCGCCTCCCACCCCCTTTCCCCTGGATCAAGATCTGAAAGCTACATCGCCCTCCCTGGGAGTCAGCTCTCCGCTGGATGAGGGGAACTACGTCTCTTTGGGGCAACAGCAGAACTACGCCGAACTGGCCTTCTCACCAACGCCAAAGCAGCATCAACAGCAGCGGCAGACTGTGCATCTAGTTCCTGGTAGTGCAGATTCTACACTCGCCCACATTCCTCCACCAATGGCAGCACTGAGTCTGACAAAGCTTAAATCGGTCCTCTCCTCTTGCCCTCCGCAACAACCCCCTCCGGGTGAGGAGGCTGAGGGATTGGCTTCTTCTCCAACAACCACTCTCGATGCCATGGCCCGTAGTGGTAGCGGCGGTGGAGACGCTAGCAACACCAACAAGTGCACTATCAATCAATTGTATGACATGAATCTCAGTTGCTGCTCTACTGCTTATGAATCCATTGTTGATGCAAGTGATTTCCGTGTTCCTATGGAAATATGCCTTTGGATGTGTGTGACTTTGGACTTTCTATAATTATCGTTTTATTTTAGATGCGAAATGCTAAAGTTGCGGAGAGTGGCGAACCAACGGCCCCAAAAAGTGATCGGTAGGTCTACCCAATGCACGTTTTTTTGCTAGTGGCATTAAAATTAGACTTCATTCAAAGCTTTATAATCATTACTTAAAATTGTCGTTTTTTGATTTTGTTGACTTCTCATCCTTACGTGTACCATCGCATCATCACACCCCAGTGCGTCAATGGGTGGGAATATTGTTGTAAATAAGACTTAAACATTCAAAAAATCGAAATGGCTCACTACGAAGCACTTCGACCATTTTTTATGAATCGTGAAATACTAGCAAATTTTCATGTGTGACGTCGATTGAAACCTAAGGGTAGTTGATAGCCCATTATGAAGTTATTTGCACGCAGAGCATTCACTTTTCAGCAAACGGAAGCAGAGATAGGTGAATTGATTGCTGACGGACCTTAGAGAAATGCATCGGCCCACAGAAGACTATCAATATACTATCATGCAGACCATATAAATCCCTCTCTGTGTCAGAAGCAACTCGCTCCATTGCAAAAGTAAACGAAAGCAACTATAAAGCATTGGTGAGTCAACCCAAAAGGAGTACTTTGAAGGAAACACGACAAATTTTGTTGGACTCATTACAGCCCCGTATTTCATATCGCTATTACCTGTGGCTTTGAATTTCAGAGGATCTCTTATCAGTAAGACCCACCCCTATGTCTAGCATTTATACTCACCTTCTGGTAGCAAATAACTGAGAAATCCAAATTATCTGAATAAACTTATATTGGTCTATTACTCGTGTATTTGGCCCATTTACTTTTCATAGGAAAGTGTACGAGGATGCCGAGGCTCTCTATCGACATCTTTCGCTTGTGAGGATCGCTGATGAGACTTCCCCGATGACGAATCATCCCTCCCTTGAGCCCCCCAAATCCATCAGCTCTGTGCCGCATCCAGATGTTAGCTGATTGGCCACCGTCCTCCGCTTAATGTCGCATCCTGTTCCTAAGTCTTGTCTCGATGTAGGCGGCCTGTCTCACCAGATTGTACGTGGGTGCACACCCAGATGCTCATTCTCTCTCCTCCTCATCTCCACGTGTGCGTGTACGCGTGTTTGTTGTGCAATGAGATATTCTGTAAATGTAGTACACACAGAGCTTTCAAGCATTTAAAGTAGCGAGATTTCCTCCAAATTGTCAACAAACCTTACAGTTTATCGGACAAATGGAATCGAGAACACGAGAACCACACAACGAGGAGAATCTGTTTTAGTCTTTCAACGAAGAACCCTGTACAGACAACTCACATTTACCCTCCAAGCATTTTAATTAAAGATATGGCATAACGACAATCCTGTCATTTCACCTCTTTCTGATTTTGGAAAGATGCTGGTTTTCGGTTAAACTGCCTGTGCATGACTGCGACACTGACTCCACTAAATGGTGATTTCTAGTTGCTACTTTCAGATGACCACAGTCGGGTTAGTATTTTGCGCATCAAAATGAGCATTGATACGAGTGGACTGAAAATACTCAGGGAAAACATCCAAAGCGTTGATTAGAGCATGCATTTGAGGCATCAACGGCTACGGAACAGTTCGTTTAGCTGTTTGTGTCATTTATGAGCATTGCACCCGGTCGGGTGTCCTCCGTTTTAATGAACATGGCTGACGCGACTATGAAGGCCGCAACGAAGAAGATGTAGAGCCCGTAGATAAAGAGAATTGTTGCACAAAAGGGCGTCATTTGTGTCCTTCCTGGAGTAGAATGTTTGTCGTAAACCTCCTCATCACTGGTGTCCTCTAATTCCTTAAAACCCTCCTCTGGCTCTTTTGCCTCATCCAACGTTGCTTTGCTGGAGGAAGGGTGTCCCTGCAAAATTTGTGTCATCATCTCGAGTCGCAATTCAGTACTTTCTTTTCACATGAAAAGCACGTCGCCGGATCGATTACTTACTAAGATTGAATCCGAGAAATTCATGCTGCGTTGAGGGAAAAATGGGTAGTTGCTTGGATTTTACTACAACTTCAATGGCCCTAAACTGATCTTCCCATTAGTCCACACCCACATTAATGCTATGGGTTCCTTTTTTAAAACGCCGATTAGGGTAAGAAGGCGTGAAATCAATGCATCAACAGCCATGGCGTACGAAACGGTATGGAGAGTAAGGGCAATTGGAAAGGACTAAAGTAGTACCACTTTATTGAAAGTTAAGTAACTCATAATTGATAATAAACAATAATTTATAAGGCATTTTTTGGCTAATAGGAAAATATTATTAAACAGTACTTCGGTAATGCATTGATGCATTTTTTTGTGCTAAAATATTTGTATGATGCTATTCTCCTGGCCTATAATGCTCCAAAAGTAGGGAGGTTTTGTCAACGCCACAAAAAACTATTAGGCTCTGCACTGCTTGTTGAACTCTTTTGGAAAAAAAATAAGTTCACGCTAATGACATCAAATCGTCGTTTACCAATGCAGACAGGGTCATAAACAACTGTATGAATACATGGGGTGAGATTATTTAGAAGTCAAAAATACTGAATGCGTAGATTGCCTCATCATCAGTGGATTTTATGTCCAATTGATGTAATTTTGAATGCATTTCCACGTCAGAATTGAAGGCAAACCATGACGTGCACCCGCAAATGTTTGCACAAGTGTACCCACGTTTATACGCATGCAGTGCTTATTCGTAGTGTTTGTCTACATGGTATGAGGTACATAGTAATCGGAGGGGGACACTGTGAATAACACCGTTCTCCAATAGTCCTAACTGGAGCAACATGGTAACATGGTCATCATGCAGCACTCAGAACCATAAGCTGGAAACAAATACCACTGTAGCAATAAAGTTAGAAAGCAAACAGATTTCGGTGTTCACTGTAGTCCTCGGTTTCGGTAGCGGAGGACGCTTTGGGTCTCCGCCATTGTACCTTCATCGAGCGGTCTGACCTCCAGCTCAAGCTAGTAGCCACAAGCCCTACTGTAAT